TTAAGAAATCATGTATATGCAATTTTATTCATAGTTAGATTAGATTAGTTCTGAAGAACTTTAATTTAATACTAAACCTTTCAAGTTAAATCAAATCTGCTCGTCAGACAGTGCAACTATTCAGACACTGTGTTGTGGCGACATCTAGTGGTGTAAATCAACAAGGATCAAACCATGAAGAGGCTTAGTGACACTTTACAAAAAGGTCTCAATTTTTAGCAGTATAGTTAATGAATTAACTAACACGACAATTAACAATATATTCTTGCAGCATGCATTAACATTTGTTAATAAAACTGTTCAAGTTAGTTCACAGTGCATTAACTAAGTTAACAGATTAACGTTAATACAAGCTGTACATGCAGAAGTAGGCTATTGTTCATTGATAGACAGTTCATGTAAAATCTTAATGAAAAGTGTTGCCCATTTAATGATAATTATGCTCTCATAGATATGAAATTCCCTTGATACCAACTATACTTTTTTTTCTACACTGTAAATCAACCGAATAACTCTTGCAGCTAACATCTACTCACCTGAACTCTATCTTCCACTCATTCATGGCGGGCCTTGCCGGCAAATTCATGACCGTAAGTTTGACATATTTTGAGAACGTTAATTGATTAGGCTTTCATTGGATTTATATTTTGAGTTTAGTGACACTAGCACGTTTGATGACGTAGGGAAGTGATACTGAGTGCTGATTGGCTCGCGTTGGTCTCAATGATTATTATTGGTTATATGCGGCGCAACAGGGATTTATATTTATATAATAAAAATAAAAATTAAATTTATTTGATCGAAAATAAAGTAGAAACAGCAATTTTGTGAAATAAAATTACAATTTAAAATTTTTGAAAAGTTTTACACGGAAATATATTTTAAATGTAATTTCTTCCTAAAATAGAAATCGCCTATAACTTTATAGGCCTAAATGTCTTTACACTTTTGATATATATATTTCAGACCTTAAAGCAGCATGGGCTTTCATTGGCTTTATTTTTTCAAACGTCAAAAGATTGCGTAGCTTACGTTTACAAGCCAGCGTCTTTATAGTAGCCTAACGTTTGCCATTGGCTACTGTTTTACATAATGGAAATGCTAATTCAATTCAATGTTTGTTGGTAGAAAATAAACATGTCGTCAAAATTATAATATCAAGCTACCATAGATGAATCTGCAAATTTGAAAAATCGATTTGCATTATAGCCTGAGGCAAGACACTTTCACCAGAAAAATAACAAACATGACTATCAGCCTGCAGACATAGGATAGTTATCCTGACTGATTATTGTGTCCGTCTAATCATGTATTATTTACTTGCAAGAACGTAACCCCTACCAAACTCAGTAATCAGTATACTTGCACGTCTCAAGCTGGTGCGAGCTGCCCGCCCCGGCTCTACGGGGATGCTTGAGTGTGTTAAGCGCCCTCAAAAGAAAGCAATGCAGTCTACACTGGAGGCGGCGAGGTATGAAGCTACACAACACATTACCAACAGTAAACTGATCGCGCGCATGCTCTGTTTCTGACACACTTTACATTGGCCAAGCGGGGGAAGTTTGATGCACCGGACTGGAGTCGGGGGACTTAGTTACATTTTTGTGGAGTAGTATTATGAATGAATGTTTTTAAAATAGTAATTAGAATTAAAAAAAAAATGACTTGTTCGCTCATTTGGCGTACCCAATTCTGCGGGCCGGCCCTGATCGCTCGAGTCACCCCTAACGCTGGACCTATATTGATCCTCGTCCAGCCTTTTATTTTGCCAGTCTCCCTTTTTCTCTTTCTACTATCCTCCGACAAAACCTTTGGCTTCTTGGTTTTACTTCTGCTTCAGCCATTACAACATACAGAGGTAAAAAAAACAACAACAAAAAAACACTTGTTGGGCTCTCGTGCCGGAATTTGAGGAAGTGGGGGAAGTGACACATGCCATAAAGCAGTCTAATTTTGTAGTTCTTTTTGTGCTCGGGTTCCTACCCACACCCTGAAGTTACAGAGAGCCAGAAAAAGTGATATAGACACGGTCATGCTATGGCAGACCTGTCAGTCAACCTATTGTAAGTCAATGTACCTTCTCAATGGTTTTAGAAAAATATTATAAAGGTTAAAAAAGTTACAGAGTGCTGCTTTAACAGCAAGAAACCACTTAAACATTCATGTTGAGTGACTCCATGTACAAGTACTTTGGATTTCACCATAAACTTGCAGTAGTTTTTGTGCCAATTTCATTATTGTCAGTTTTCTCGTGTCACACTGAGTGAATCTGTACCCGCTCAAAAACAGTGAGATGATTTTAAAAATCTACAGGAAATCAATTACAATCAACCTGCATTATTTTCCCATGCATATTAATGTGCATTTCTGATGCCGAAAATACAAAAACAGGAGGTTAAATTGAAATGATTACCGAAACAACTTACATGTACAGCAACGTTTTTTTCTGGTTTATTATCAGCAATTCATCAGACACATATAAACAACCTGTAGGAAAAGAAGAAAGCAATATTTTCACACAGTAACCTGGATCGCCCCAGTAAGGTAACAATAGACTCTCTCTCTCTCTCACACACACACACACACTCTCAGACACACTTTGAGAGGTTTGTACTAAACACTTTGTGTAGTAAAAAAAAGAAATGAACAAATGTATATATAATAAAGAAATCATTATTAAATAAAAGATCATTCATGTATTTACAAATTAACAAAACAAGTAATATTAACATAAGTAAACATTCCTTTCACCCGTCCTATTTAAAAGCAAATTTAATGATATGCCTTTAGAGATCAATAGCGCCCATAGTTCATTCACTGTAGATATGGTTTTTGAAAAACTGGCCCTAACCTACTTATTTGTGCTTTTTTACCCAATTATTAGATGGTCGGTGTCAGTGATGACCATTTCAGTCATATCTGAATCCACATAAAATTTACTTTTGTCTATATGCAACTTCATGGCATGGTGACAAATTTAACTTACACCCTTATAAAGTATATAAAAAAGGGTTTTTTTCCCCCTATACTTTTCCTTTGAAAACTGATAAGTAGGACACACTCCTTACACAGCTCTCTTGAATACTGGATTCTGGTCAACCATCACTGCATACTGTGTATCAGACTAGCACTACTGTCCAGTCAAACACTTCTTGCGCCATCTTGTGTCTCAGTTAACCAATGTGTTGAAGCTAACATTCATCTTGTTGCTGGCCTGACTGTTCTCTATATTGTAGCTGACGTTTCTTTTTCTTTCTTGGCAGAAGCTGTATGATGATACAGAGCCCCTTACTGGTGATGGAAAAAATATAAGATATGGAAGGAAAAAATGTATTTCAATGCCTTTGCATCCCCCCAAAAAGTTTATGTCTTCCTCCCATCTCAGATTTTGGTGATATACAGGTAAAACAAAGCATTCTCATTCTAGGACGTCATCTAACTGACGCTTTTGACAATGCGTCTAAATCCGACACACATGGCACCCTTTAGCGTCAATATAACACAATTCGGTTATGGGTAGGTTTAGGTCTGGGGTAGGGTTAGGGTTAGACCACTAGGAGGCGCCTTCTGGCCCATATATTTCTGCGTTTCATATTGACGCTAAAGGGTGCCATGAGCGACGGATGTCGCATTGTCAAAAGCGTCAGTTAGATAACGCCTTGGGATGAGACTGGGCTGGGTAAAATGATTTAATTTAATTTAAACTTAAATCTATATTTGATATTTATTTGGCAAGTAAGGGCCTGTTCACATATCGCGTCTTTTGCGCACTCAAGTTCGTTATTTTAAATGTAGGCGCGCGGTATACGCTTTCATAAGCGCGTCTGTGCCGCATCGAGATAAAAACATCCCAACTTTTCAGAATGCCGCAAGCGCACCATAAGCGCACAGTAGGTCACATGACAAGAACCAACCGTAGCGCAACTGCCCTAGTGCTTTGGAAAAAGGAGAATGTGGTGCGCCCAGCGTTTCCAACGCATTTTTAGGCGCTATAATAAGCGGGATAGTGTGGTCATTATCACCATTGTTATTAATATTCATATTATGGCTGCTGCCATTTTGCAACGATTGTTTTGTACACTGTAATAGATTAAAAGATAACAAACAGATACGATTTTAAAACGGTTTCATCTCAAATTAATATAGCTATTACTAATTTACTAAATTGATGTATATATTACCATTTATGTGGTGGAATGTTGTTTAATAAGTGGTATGAGTATACCGTATCCCTAAAATGTCCGTCTAGTTTGCTAGCAACTGCTTTCTTCTCGGAAGCTTTGCGTTTGAAGAATTTCAAGGCAATATATTGGTGAACTTATGTGGCAAGTAGCCGTGTAATAAGCAGGGTAATGTTTGTTATCACAGAATAAACCCCTTCAGGCGGACGCAAGACCTGATCACGCTGTCAGGGTTTATTCTGAGATAACAACTGGCTGGATGTACATTATCCCTTACATAATAACCAGCTGTACATCATCCCTTATCTAATGTGCCAGCACAAAACACAGTATTTTTGGATTATTACTTATTGAGCTGAGATTTTTTTTTTTTCTCATATCAGAGCAACGAATGTTGTCCAAACTGATCAGAGCATTGGTTTTTCCAAATCTAGCTGATATGAAATTGCATGTCGTTATTGTGTTAGGTAGCCATGGGAAAGTCAGTAGAATCAGTAAATCAAACACTGATAAAAGCGCTCAAATTATGAACAGGGAGCCATTTGGAATCAGAGAAGACTGAAATACATGGAAACCTTCACCGACCCGGATCTCTAAGGTGAAAAAAGAACCACTGAATCACACACGAGTCAATCAGGCAAAGAAAGCAAACGCATGGCTGGTTGCGACTGTACACACAACAGGACGGGGTTTGGGGAGTCCACAAAAAAACTGCCCCGTTATCACAAACAAGAGGAAACCAGTAAACAAGTATGTATAAACGAACATCGGTGTGTTCCATTAGAAGGAAAAAGGGCTACTTTTGTTCTCTCTCGCTCATTTTTTGTCTAGCACAAGACTGTACACGTTCTTGTTTCGCAAGAGGCAGTTTTCTATGGCAATGCTATAAGTAAATGTTCATGCTGCACTAATATAGTGCAAAATGGAGCCTGAATAGAGAAAAGAGGAAAGGCAGGCCAGAGTTTCTATAGGGGGCGCTAGTGAGCTGCAGTCTTTTACCCTTCTGATCGACGCAGAGGAAGAACATTTCAGCGCTCAAAATGCTTCTAAATTGTGTGTTTTGTTTCTCTGAACATGACACGTCCCAACAGCCACTGACACGTTTCAGGAGCTGACAAGAAGTGTGAGTTTACTAAACAGGAGACGGGCGTATTTTTGTGCTTCTCAGCAAAAAAAAAAAACCTCCCAATTTAATAAGGGTCCTGCAACTTTCCTCCTGAAAGACAAGTCTATGTTACAGAAAGATGTCAAGGGCAGAGAGGTGAAGGCAGACTTCCTGAAGAAGATTTTTGAAGAGTTTGTGAAGGCTCTCGTGAAATAAAGTAAAAAAAACAAAAACAAACTTGAACGTAAAAAAAGGAGGGGGGAGAAACGTTATATAAACATGGATCGAGTCTCTCTCTGAGGTTCCATTAGCGGTCTTATAAAAAGCAGGCGCGAGTCTCCTTGTTTGAGGCTTGTACCGATGGCCGACTGTGGAAAGAGGCGAGTATCTGTAGTGCGTAGTGAACGTGGTTAGGCTACATGTCAGCGTCGCCGTCGTAAGCCAGCGTCAGAGGCTTGAGTCTGTTGTTCATCTGTCTTCTCTGGGGCTTCTTTGGCTTTTTGCTGTGGAAAAACAAAACAGCGGTTAATACAAAGCAATATATATATATATATATATATATATTTTTTTTTTTTTTTTTTTTGCTTCACAGATGCAAAAAGATAGCAAGATTGGTTACCTGCACATATTTAATAAACTTTGAAGAGATCTGACCTTCTAGAATATTTTACACTGTGGCACTGCTTTAAATCTGTGACCTTTATATCTATTGCATCTGTTTGTTCAAGTGTTTTATCACCTTGCATCATTGAAAAGCCTTGTGTTTGTGTTTTTGGGGGTATTTTGTGTTGTTAGAAGTCCATGCACTGCTGCTGCTTGCCATGCTTTAGTAAAATACCTTTTTTTTTATCATGCAGTAGATGAAATTTAGTGTAGCTTAACTATAACTTTACACAGTGCACCAAAGTTATGTCATGATTTATTGAGATAATATTTTAAATTACTTTATTTTTTTTTCCTTTTTCCCTTTCATTCTTTTATAACTTATATATAAGTACATCTCCTGTATATACAGTGTATCTCATGTATATACAATTTAAAATAATGGTTTTCTATTTTAAGATTCTTTAAAATATTATTTATTTCTGTGATGCAAAGCTGTATTTTCAGCATCATCACACTTCAGTGTCACATGATCCTTCCGAAATTATTCTAATGCTGATTTGATACTGTTATTATGAGTTGGGCTGCTTAAAATTTGATTTGGACCCTCTGATACTTTTTTTTCAGAATTCATTGTTAAATAAAAAGTTAAAAAGAACAGCATTTATTCAAAATATATATTTTTTCTAACAATATAAATCTTTACTATCACTTGTTATCAATTAAGCACATCCTTGCAGAATAAAAATATTTATTTATTTAAAAAAAAGAAAGAACTGACCCCAACATTTTGAATGGTAGTAAATTGTTACGGAATATTTATATTGAAATAAATACTATTTATTGATCAAAGGATCCTGAAAAAAATATCACAGGTTATAAAAAAGTAGTAAGCAGCACATCAGTATTAATATTGATAACAAATCAGCATCATTTCTGATAGATCATGTGACACTGAAGTAATGATGCTGAAAATTCAGCTTTGCATCACATAAATTAATAGTATTTTAAAGTATATTAAAATACAAAACTAGTATTTTAAATTGTAATAATATTTCACAATATTACTGTTTATCCAATAAATGGCTTGATAAGCATAAGAGACTTTCAAAAACATTAAAAAGGGTAGCTAATGTTTCTAAACTTTTGACTAAATGTTATTTGAAACATATTTTATTTTAAGTACTTAAATTATTTATATAATAACTCAGCACTGCACATTTAAGTGTGCTGCCATGCTTACTTTTACAGGAAGCATATGCTTTAGCGATGGAAGGAACAGGGAAGTAGCCAGCAGCGCATTCCAGTCCGCTAAACTCTACAAACCAAACTTACCTTAGCGAGTACTATGACACAGAGATAGGGACACATGTCAACACAACATCTTCTAAATCAATTTAGCTTAAATGTCATTATAGCATCAGAACAACTTTTCTGTAAACAGGTTATACTAACAACATTTAAATGTGAACTTCAAGAAACATGATTTTGCATAATATAATAATAAAAATAATGTTTAAGAAAATGATTAGTATTCATTGGTGATGATGATGATGATGGCTGTCAGACCTGACCATCAGTGAGCAGTGTGGATAAAAAAACTGGCTAAAATATTGGCCAAATGGCCAAGTTCTTTTTATATATTAGTCATCTTTAGATTCGTGTGGATGCACTGCAAAAAATCTCATTCTTAAAAGGATAGTTCACTTTGAAATACATTTTTGGTATGTTTTAGCTTACCTCAAGGGCATCCAGGATTTAGGTGTCTTTGTTTCCGCAGTAGTTTCAATTTTGATATTTTTAGGTCATTTTAAGTCATTAAATCATGTTTGATTTGGACTTCGCTGTGCATGCTTTTTTAGGTGGTGACCATAGACCTGCATTACATGACTGACAGACAAGAACGGTTTGACCTAAAAATGTCAAAATTGAAACTACTGCGGAAACAAAGACCCCTACATCTTGGATGCCCTTGAGGTAAGCTATAAAAACATACCAAAAATGTATTTCAAAGTGAACTATCCCTTTAAAGAGTAGTTGAGTCCTATTTTCCGTTTCAACATCTAAAAAATCTTGAAACCAGATAAATTTACTTGAGAAGCAACAGTCATTGTGGAGTGATTTCAAATTTATTTTATGCGTATGTCAGGTGGCATTGCAGGTTCGTGCAATTAAAAATAAATGCATTTCACGGCTATTAATTTACGTTTACATTTCATTATATTTTTCTTTATTTATTGCAACATTCCACAACCAACTTAGTAACTTCATTACAAATTTAATTTAGTCTGTAAGATTTTTTATTATCTAAAAAAAAGTAAATAAGTGTACTATTATATAAAGCTACACGGTTGATCTTCATTCTGTTTCTAGCAGTTGATCTACCAGCTCACCTCCTCCAAACAGCTCCTTGTGATTGGTCAGAAAGGCACATGTGACAGTGAGAAGGCATAGGTGATGGACATGATTGGCCACAGGGCAAGGCCATGAGTGATGAGACTGAGCTGAGAGCTCTAGTGGAACTGAGTCTCAATTTGCTGACAGTCAGGACAGGTATATATCAGCTCTTGGTCGTTGGGTCCGACCCAAACCACAGAGGAAAGGGACGGGTCCGGGCTCGGAGGAGAGCGCCGGGCCAGCATACAAAAACTGATAGGTATGAAGGGGTTTGGGAGACAAATGAAGAAGTGAGAAAAAAAGGAAAAAGAATGACAAATTAAAAAAAGAAGCCTTTTTAAATCAGTATTTTTGTCTCGTTTTCAGTTAAAACATAAGCATATATACTAGACTTACATAAAATATATTTTGATTTAAGTTTCTTATCCCATGGGTGATGATTTTTCTTATCTACAGTATACATTTAACAATCTTTAGTGAGGTTTATGCTTACAAAACAGGAAAAATTATATTAATATTTTATAATATATTCCCTGAAAGTAAAGGGAAAGTTTTATTATTAAAGTTTTAACTAGGGCGTTTTAGTGGAAAACAAGACAAAAATATTGATTAGGAAAATGTAAAAGTAGAGTAAATGTAAAATGATTTTTGCAGTGGAGGACAAAGTAACTTAGATGGAACTTAAGATGGATATAATAAAGCAGATGATTTATGAAAGGATCAAAATGTCTAGTTTGAGGTATAACAAATGTTCTTACCAGGCTAAATAAGTCATGGAGACAATGAACACTAGCAGTACAAAAGCTCCAGCTGCCACACCATACACCCAGGTCTTCAGTTTGCCATCTGTGCAGATACACACACACACACACACACATCAAAACAATGATAAAGCTGCATCTCAGCTGCTTATAACCAAGACAACAGACACAACTAGTCAGAGCCATTCTGGGAACACCCTTCCTTTTTTTGGACCATCATATGTTATTGTGGCCTCAAAAATGATTTGGACACTTAAGATACACTTAAAGAGGACATAATATGCCTTTTTTGCAGTGGTACAAAAAACACCTTATTTTTTTTTTTAAAAAGTCTGTCAGTAATGCTCTGTTTAGTTCCTGTCTCCATGAAGCCCCTCCTTCTAAAAAGCACAATGTGCTCTGATTGGTCAGCTGGACCATTGTGTTGTGATTGGTCAACTGCTTCGAGAGTGTTTCCGAAACGCCACGTCTCTTTACATACACGCAACTCAAACAAGCCTCAGCCCTTTTTTTCTATATGTCTTGGCTGGGAGTTATCTAAAATGAGGAATATTGTGACGTGTTTGTTCTTGGAAGAAAACTCCAAACTATGGAGGCATTTCAGGGAGTTCAGAAACTATGCACTGATATAGAGAATAACTCCCTTTGGGGTGACTTTGTGCTTTTTTACATTTTTCATGCTCAAACAGCAACAGTATGTAAGAAATCTCAATTTAAAAAAAAAAAAAAAAAAAAAAAAAAATAATAGATCCCTTTTAATAAAATCTGAATTTCATTGCATTGATGCCAAAATCCCAAACCAAGTGGCATATTTAAAATTAATCATGCATCATTTTTCAATTAACCTTAAATCTATGGGCCACATGGACATATTCTGTTTAATTTGAAGACAAGCAAGTTAAACACTTTTAAAGAAAAGGATTACAGATAGTTAGCAATAGTTAGTGTGAAAATATGAGTCTTTGCACCCATTCAGAGCTTTGTTCTCCCCAAACTCACCAGGTCCGAAGGGCTGGAGGAACCAGGTGCGTCCTGCACGGCCGGGCATGTTGGCGGTGGACTGAGTGGGGCTGAGTGCTCTGATCGTCTTCACGTCAGTTTTACTGTCTCCTGCGGTGGGGATCTCAAGCACTGGTATAAGCGTACACTGATCCAACACTCCATCAGATGTCATCACCTCAGTGTAACCCTCCTCGCAGCCGCACACACCAGCCTGCAGGGGGAGACATCATACCAGTTACACACGTGGATCTGTTTACATCAGACAAGCTGCATGCACTATAGACCATTTCAAGATGTAAACAACACTGGTCCAGAAACACTTCCTGTTTCAGTTTGTAACTGTTTTCTTTATTTCACATGTAAAGAAAACATCTTAAAGATGTTTGTTTAACTTTTTGATTCAGTTTTAAATGTTCTGTTGGTTGTATTTTATCCCAGCTTTTATGTAGTGTTAAGAAACTGAAACAGGAAGTGCTTCTGGACCAGTGTTGTTTACATCTTGTGAAATGGTCTATAAAACAATGGAAAACAAACATTGTTTAAAAGTTTTAAAGGCAATAATTTTATTCAGCAAACATGCATTTAATTGATCAAACGTGACAGTGAACACATTTATAACGTAATAAAACAAATGCTGTTCTTTTGAATGTTCTATTCATCAAAGAATCCTGAAACAAATCAAGGTTTCCACAAAAATATTAAGCAACACAACTGTTTTCAACACTATTAATAATAAGAAGTGTTTCTTGAGCACCAAAATCAGCATGTTAAAATGATTTCTGAAGGATCATGTGACACTTAAGACTGGAGTAATGATGCTGAAAATTCAGCTTTGCCATTATAGGAATAAATTACAATAAAAAAACAAAACAAAAAACAATTCAAATAGAAAACAGCGAGTTTCAATTGTAAACATGTTTCACAATATTACTGTTTTTTACTGTATTTTTAATATTTTAAATTTTTTTTTACAATATATATATATATATATATATATATATATATATATATATATATATACAGTATATATATAGAACGCTTTGTGGAGACAGAGCATTTTGTTATTGTTATAGAATCTTTTTTTATATTGGGTACTGCTACATTAAAATGTTTCAACATCTACTTTTACCTGAAGCATGTAGGTTAGAATAAGATAAGCTGTGATGTGGACCAGACTTGATTAAAGTATGGCTATGTGAGACTAAGTAAAATGGGACCAGAAAACAATTGATACCTGTTGTTAAAAACACTGACATCTTTCTATTTGTGGCATTCCCCCGGCCTCTAAACTGCCTCTAATTTAATTCACTTTCCGTCTCCTGCGACCATCACTTAACTTCCTCTGTGTCACGTAGTTCTTTCTTCCAGCAAACAGCTACTAAAAATATTTCTGCGGCGTCTAGCTGTGATTTCAAAGATGCTGTTCTAGTGTAATTTTAGTGCTTTCCTTGTTCTGAAAAACATCCGGATCCCGAATCCTGAAGGTTCTCCATGGCTACGAGTGCATGTTCGAGTGCAAATAAATGTGGAGAAACCCCCAGGTTCCTGTGGTCTGCAGGGGGTCTCTTATTCCCACTGCAATTTAGTGGAGGATAATCGCCCCACACGCAAACACAAGCCGTCAGATCGGCCCGGTCACGGAACGCACCGGGGGCTTTTGCATCTCTACAGACGGGCGCAAGAGAGCAGGTCCAGATGTAGCAGAAGAATCTGATATAAATACAGTCAGATTCTACCCACAGTAGAGGGATTCCCTTCACCCCGGGAGACACGGTTTAGATACACTCACAATCATTTCGATTTCACACAACATGTAGTTTATATGCAATGGGGGTGAAAAAAAAAAAAAAAATCGCATGCTGGAGGAGAATTGTAGTAGCTCACAATGAATGTGTGCATCTAGGATTATCTTCAAAGGAACAAGTTGAATATTGGGGAGAGTGGGGTAAATTAAGACACCCTGTTTCCAGGCAACTGTTTGCTGTCAGACTGATGCTGAATGACAAAATGTATAGTGCATCATTTGTGGGGACAGACAACTATATGTTTACGTGAACAAGCCAGTGTTTAATTGGTTCTGTAGACTAGTTTTAGATTTATTTATTTTTTTTTTGCTATTAAGTTTAACTGTTTTGTAAATGATGTTTTGAAATTACAATATGGCCTAGAAGAGTCATTTTAAAGAAATTAAAGAAAACAATTTAACTTTAAAAAATACAATATTGAATAGAAGACAATAATAAAATAAAAGTTAGCTCTATTTAATTGTAATTAATGTTGTTGAATCATATAATTGTGATTAATCACATCTAACATATATGAAATTATACACTCATCTAAAGGATTATCAGAAACTCCATACTATTACTGTGTTTGACCCCCTTTCGCCTTCAGAACTGCCTTAATTCTACGTGGCATTGATTCAACAAGGTGCTGAAAGCATTCTTTAGAAATGTTGGCCCATATTGATAGGATAGCATCTTGCAGTTGATGGAGATTTGTGGGATGCACATCCAGGGCACGAAGCTCCCGTTCCACCACATCCCAAAGATGCTCTTTTGGGTTGAGATCTGGTGACTGTGGGGGTCATTTTAGTACAGTGAACTCATTGTCATGTTCAAGACACCAATTTGAAATGATTCGAGTTTTGTGACATGGTGCATTATGCCGCTGGAATTAGCCAACAGAGGATGGGTACATGGTGGCCATAAAGGGATGGACATGGTCAGAAACAATGCTCAGGTAGGCCGTGGCATTTAAAAAATGACCAATTGGCACTAAGGGGCCTAAAGTGTGCCAGTACAACATCTCCCATACCATTACATCACCACCACCAGCCTGCACAGTGGTAACAAGGCATGACAGATTCATGTTTTCATTCTGTTTACGCCACATTCTGACTCTACCATCTGAATGTCTCAACAGAAATCAAGACTCATCAGACCAGGCAACATTTTTCCAGTCTTCAACTGTCCAGTTTTGGTGAACTCTTGCATATTGTAGCTTCTTTTTCCTATTTGTAGTGGAGATGAGTGGTACCCGGTGGGGTCTTCTGCTGTTGTAGCCCATTCGCCTCAAGGTTGTGTGTGTTGTGGCTTCACAAATGCTTTGCTGCATACTGTACCTCGGTTGTAGCGAGTGGCTATTTCAGTCAAAGTTGCTCTTCTATCAGCTTGAATCAGTCGGCCCATTCTCCTTTGACCTCTAGCATCAACAAGGCATTTTCACCCACAGGACTGCCTCATACTGGATGTTTTTTTTTTCCTTTTCACACCATTCTTTGTAAACCATAGAAATGGTTGTGCATGAAAATCCCAGTAACTGAGCAGATTGTGAAATAATCAGATTGGCCCGTCTGGCACCAAAAACCATGCAACGCTCAAAATTGCTTAAATCACAACTAATTTGTTCTATTAATTGTTCCAGTTCTTTTCATTACATGTTCTGTGAATAATGTATGGAAATTATAAAAGAGTAAGACATTTTTAACCAAATTAAAGAAAACGTTGCAAATGACATTATTAAAATAAAATATAATAACATATTGAAATAAAAAATATGTATATCAAAGAAATTGCAACATCTTACCACGCTCTGCCCAACTGTATATGTCCATAATCAGATTAATAATTTATTTCGAGGATCTTACAGTCAAATCAAAGGCATAAGCAAGCATAAAAACCTTCAAACACACCAACCACTCCAAAACAGCCATCCAGAATAATATAAAGCTTTCAACTGATAGTGCCATATCTTCCCTAAGGTGTTTTCTTTGGCCTGCACTGATTCTACTGCAGTGTAAGTGTGACTGATTCTATGCCGTCTGACATTGGTCACAGTGCTTGATAAAGCCCATGCAAAGGGCTAACACTGTTATTTTTATCAGCAAAAGACTGAACAGTAAACAGGGTTTGATAGTGTCCATCTAAAGTTATTAAGATGGAAGCTGTTGATAAGCGGATATCAAATCTTCCAATTACAACCGGTGCAGTTGGTCCTCATGTTTCTTCATTTTCCATTACACATTCCAGCACTAACTCTCTCTCCTGAAAGAAGTCGAATCCTGCTGTATTGAATATCCATAAAGCCTGTTTGCAGTCTGCCTGCATCCCAGCATCACACCTCAGGAGACATAAACATGACGCACAAATACTACTAACCTCAGTGCAGATTGAGCGAGGTTTGTCGCAGGCTGGGTCACATGACCTGTCTGACACCGGCTCGCTTGTCAATGGGCATCCACCTGCAGGGAAAGAGTTCAAAGTTTTATATTGTTTAATGGCATTAACACACACACACACACAAAGAAGCACATGCCCATTTACAGCCAGTGTATTTTCCTGGAGGCAGGAGGCATCAAATACTCTCTATTCTGTTGCTCTCCCACATTCATCCTCTCTCTCCCCCTCACTCTCTCTCTCTCTCTGGAAATGCAAAACACTGCCAAGCACACTTCACTCCAATTTAATCCATGCTTAAATCCTCTCGTGTTATGATATTACTGATGTGTAAACTGATATGCATGAGGCAGTAAAGAAAATGGAGAAAATGTGAGCGGTGCTTGGCCGTGCAAAACTCAATATCAATATGGGCGGACTGTCTTTCGAGGGTAGTAGTAGGATAGATTTTTAATGCCATGTCAGCAGATGAGACTACAAAATATACAAGAGTTGCATAAATACAATACAGAAAAATAGGAAAATACAGTAGTCAAGCTTATACGAGGTGTTTCACATTTACATATTAGATAAATTCTGGTAAAATCTTAAAGTCTTTAGTCTTTGCAAGACAGTCCAATACAATGTTTCCCCTTTCTGAAGGACTTCTCCATAAAAATAAAAAAAAGTTTCTATAAAAAAAAAAGAAAAGTGTATTTATTTTCTTCTCCCTATTAGTACTGTTAGACATGGAAACCCATTTCCACCACATTATGAAAAAATAAAATAAATAAATAAATAATGAAGTCTTAAAGTCTACTTCCTATGTACTCAAGATCTTTTTATCTCAATTACTTTTTGTCAAATTCAACATTATACTGTAGCTCATAATTGACTTTTTTATCTCAATGTCATCACTTTACTCATAATTTTGAAGTTAGCTCATTGACATAACATCTTACAATTTAATTGTTTCATCTCATAATCATGATGACTAATAATAATTATGATTTACAAAATTTGTGATTCTTTTTCTTATTATCAGATACAGTATGAGCTTCCATAATTAGGTGTAGAAACAAAAGAAAAACATAAAACTGGTGGTCAATAGACTAAAATAATTAGAGTTGAATTAAAAAAACAGAATTGTTATCATATTATATTTATTATGACATATTATTGTTATTATATAACATTGATTTAATAGACTTGTATTCATTAAATGCAAAATTTTGAATTATTTTGTATTAATTAAATTAAATATTACTTACATATTTGTTTATTATATTAAAAAAAATATATTATTTATTTTATAATTTTATTATATTATTTTCTCCAAACCTTTTTAGAGGCCAGGAAGTGCACCTTTGTGGCCCATTTGGTCAGGTATTTTGAGTGTTTTCTAGATTATTTCTAGGATGTTCTTGGTGTTTGCTTATGTGTTCTGAGGGGTTACTCATTTCTTACCATTCCCAGTCTCTATTATATTCTGGTCCCTAGATATTCATGCGTGGGCTGCTCTGTCAATGTATGTCCATGGGATTTTGGCCCATTTTATCATCAGCCAACACAATTAAAAAAAAATCCTCTTCATGGCTCGCCTATGTGTACGATCTCAACATCCTTTCGCTCACCTCTCTACAAATCGCAGCCTGTGGGAATCAACTGGATCTATAAAAGCACTGAAATGGGCAGCCGGCGGCCAGTGCACTGGTGTTATTTTCTCTAAGCTGGGATGAATCAATACATCCAATCAACAATGGGAACAGTGAAATAGAACTGCTCTTCGATTCCGGAAAAACTCTAGATTGCTGCTGCCAGGTAAAATGACAATTGTAAAGTCCTCAAGCAGCATCAGAGAGCTGGTTACAAGGTGATGCTTGTAAAACGTTAAATCATTTTCTCTCTCTCTTAGTGTACAATTTCATCATTAGCAATAAGATAAAGCTATTGGCATGTTAAAAGATCTCACTTTTAAAGGTGCAGCATAAACTGTAAGCATCTGCAGAAACATGTTTACCAATTAGCAGCTTGTATGAATATTCATACCGCTGCACACCTTAATATAACCCATGAATATGCATAAACGGGGACCTGGTTGCTGAAGAGGGATTGGTTACAGCCTTAGAAGTTCTGCTGCCCTGTTCGGCCAATCAAAAGTGACTAGACTCATGTGTGCCATCTGGAACGAGGTCAGTTTGGACGGCTCAACACAGAGGACAAATAAACATTTGAAAATCATAGGGATTGAATCCAAGCCTCTATTTGGCATAAATATGGCATTACAAAGCTCAGCAGAAAATGAAATCTCATTTGTAAATGTATTTATAATGTCCTTCTGCGGAGTGTGAGGGACATAGGCATACTTCTGTTCTCATGTATTTCCACGTCTGCACCAACAGAGAAATACACACACAGACACATTAGCATGGGAGGACAGCTGGCATGATGGTGAATGGGATTAATTGTGAGTGTCACATTGTCATGGATTAAAAGCATATTTCCATTAAGTATATACAGATGAATAAGAGGAGACATCACACACTTCAGCCTTCACAACAGGAAATGACAGCAAGGGACGTCAACTTTATCTCAAACCCCAGTCTGTCATCAAACACTCTCTGGGGAAAGATTATTGATGCTTCTGTCGAAGTAATGGTTTCATATATCCTCTAAATATCGAAAGCAGATACAGGGTGGTTTATCTCTGCTTCTACAATTTGTGCACCAGGGGCTGCAACTCTTCTGTCCTTTATTATTATTATTTTTTTTTATAGGACATAATTATAAAATTAATTAAAAATAATAATTTCAAACACACCTGTGACGTTTAATCCATCAGAGCGCTGGCACCAGACTTGACGAGATGAGCCTTTCCATGCACCACTCATCCATTTGTATTCATAACATTGGCCATCTTAAAATGCATAAAACAGTATTAACAGTGACACATAAAAAACCATTGCAAAACCTTAACTTCTTAAGGTGGACATTACATATTTAAAACAGTAATATCCTATAATAAACTAATATTGACAAATTTTATATCATTTGAAAACTTACAATCTGTAGTTTTCATATTTGGTGATTGATTTTTAAAATAAATTACAGAAGAGCTGTAATCTATCAATTCGCAACAAGAACTCCTAAGGCATGTTAAGACCTTTATTTTGAAATATTGATGAACATGAATTGTTTTCATGTCAGTAGTTAAAAGAAAACATCCAATATATATATATATATATATATATATATATATATATATATATATATATATATATATATATTAGGTTTATTTTTTAAGGTCTGAAAGTTTTAAATATAAAGAAAAAAACTATAGATTCACAATTTCTGTTGTGGCAGCGAGCTATAATGCACACGCATGTTGTTTTTATGTGATTATTGAGTTTGAATTCATGTCAAAATCTGCCAAACTTCCCTTACTACTTCTGAATAGGACGCCTGCTTCATAAATTGTATGAAAATTGTGGAAATAATGGTTCAGATCAGTCAAAACACATATGGAAATGGAGGCGCCCTTATATGGGCAGTAATGGAGTCTGGTTGTGACCTAGTGAAAAAGTTTGGTACTGCGCCCATAATTTGTTTTTAGATATCAACTCAATTTTTGAAACACAACTTTTTCTGAATTTTGGCTTTGATTTTATTGCAGTTTTAGAGTCCACCAGGTTTTGAAAAAATACATTTTATATAAAATATGAATAATTAAATGTTTACATTTTACATTTGCACAAACACTTCTATAACTCTTTTTCTATTTCACTTTCTTAAATTATTTAGCCAAATGTCTTCTTTAAAACAAGACCAATCTTGCATCTTCCAAAGCATTCTCGAATTACAACCATTTAAATTCGGCGTGCCGCGTGACACTTAAGAGGTTAAAACATTATGGTATCTATCTGCATTTTCAGCCCTAAATGCATTGGTTTTGACTCACCTGTACATGGTCTGGCTTCCCATTCCTGTTCTGGGCACTGAAGAAGGTTCTCGGGTTCCTGAGCTAGAACGGCACGAGAACGGACCTGCACCGAGCCGAAGCCCAGATCATCCCCGCTGATACAGCTCAGCTGACACTGGCTCCACACAGTCCAGTCTGTCAGGTAACACTCACCTGGCCAACACATCAACATCTCTGTTAGAAAATGATTGGGTGATTGATATGACTGCCACAGTCTCTTGGATAGATTAAAGCAGGGTTTTCCTTCATGATTCACAATAAATACTTTTTGTTTTGTTGCAATTTTTTATTAAATGATCTATAATGCCCATTAAAGGATTTATAATGCCCTTTTTCAAAATCTTGATTTTGTTTTGGGGTCTACTAGAATAGGTTTTCATGCTTGAACGTTCAAAAACAGCTTATTTTTCACATATATTACATTGTTGCAGCACCTCTCTTCTCAGTCTGTCAGTAACGCTCTGGGTTGTGTTTCCCGAAAGCATCGTTAGCCAACTATGGTTGCAAGTTGGTCACAATTTCCATTGAACTCTATTGAAAAACGACGGAACTTGCGACCATAGTTGGCTAACGATGCTTTCGGGAAACGCACCTCTGTTTAGTTCCCGTTTCTATGAAGCCCCTCCTTCTGAAAAGCGCAACGTGCTCTGATTGGTCGGCTAGACCAGTTTTTTTTCTGTGGTTGGTCAATAGGGGTGTCACGATTCTCCAAATCCTCGATTCGATTACATTTTCAATTCTAAGGTCAAGGTTCGATTCGATTCTAGATTTTTATCAATTGGCCAATCAGGATGCTCTCTGTCTTACATGCGCTTCATGAGGCACACACGCAAGGTCTCTCGCTCTCTCCCTCTCTGCCATGCGCACAAAACTGTTTGGAGCACAGCTTTTTCTGTCTCGCATACGCGCTTTTGCTCGCTCACTCTAGATTCCGGGAGATTTTAACTAATTTGTGTGTATCTGGGAGCTGCTATTAATATGTGGGAGACTCCCGGAACTTCCGCGAGACTTGGGATGTCTGAAAACTGGCTTTTTCATCGACGATTCCATTTTTTTATTCGAAATTCGAGATTGTGAATTAATTTTGATAGATTTCCATTTTAATTCATTTTGATCGATTTCGATTTAAAATCGAAATCGTGACACCCTAATTGGTCAACTGCTTCAAACGTGTTTCAGGAATGCCACGCCCCTTACCATAACTGTGAGTTTCAACACGCTACTCCATAGACATACTGTATATACTAGATGTCATCTTGGGGTTCTAAGCATGCATCAAAACCACCGCCATCTTGGAACAGGGGTCTTGTCATAGGAAGTAGCTAGGTAACGCTGCCATCTCTGCCTTTACTTCGAAATCATTGATTTTTGATGATGGACTTTTGTGCAGAGTATGATGTTCAAGGATGAAATCTTAACTAAGGAAGAATGTTTTTATTTTTATTTTTTTTCTGGAATCAATGATAAATACATGTCTAACCAGCCTGTTCTCAACCTTTAGCGTCACATAGAACGCTATATGACAAAACGGCGCTATACTACGCACCAAGTCGTCATAAATCCTTAGGCGTAATATGAGACTACCCTGCCCCACACCTAAACCTACCCATCACAGCACGTGTTATATTAACGATAGCAGGTGCCATGTGCGTAGTATAGCGTCATTTTGTCATATAGCGTTCTATGTGACGCTAAAGGATGAGAATGCGTTGGTCTGACCGTTGGAACAAACCAAAAAAACCCCCAAAAAAACCCAAGATTTATGGTGATTTTGTTTCCGTTAGACCTGTGTTTACATTGAATGCTGATGCATTAAAGTGGAGGGGCTCCCCTGTTTCAAGATGGCGGCTCTAGTGACGCATTTGTTCCAATGAACTGCCGTAGCCAAGGTGACGTCTAGTGTATGTCTATGACACAGCTCAACCAGGCCTCGCCCCTTCTGTTTTGCTTGTGCATTTTATTTTGCGGATTTTCAAAGCGGAAATTTGTAACTTCGCAAATGCTCAAACAGCAACATTACACACTAAAAAAATCTGAAAATGTAAAAGATAACTTCTTTAAATTTAAATTGTGTGACGCAGCTATAAGCATGAATTTTGCTGAAAAAAAAAATATTTAAATGGTGCTGAGAGTTCTACAGTATTATTGGTAGCTGAAGGCATAATCAAATTCACCAAAATATTTAATAAACAAATTTGCAGAAGACAAGCGTTTCAAATTAACAGAAGTCCATAGGGGTTTCCGAGGAGCTCCGCGGGCACATATTCTGTGTGGGCCTAGTGATTCATTAAGAGATTTCAATCTAAAACCCTAAAGAACGAAAAAGTTTCCGTATTATCAACCTAATGGGTCTAAAACTAACAAATTCCGCTTATGGGCTTTCTTTTTAATATGAAGGATATTAAGATAATAAACCTAAACTCCACTTTCACAGTTTTTTTTTTTTTTTTTTTTTTTTTTGGTGTGTGTGTGTGTGTGTGTGTGATCTCAGGGTGTTTTTCAACAGAAGTAGGTCAGTCTGTCCTGTTGTAATAGCAGTGCTGATTTGTTAATATTTCCCAGAGTATTAATTATCCATAACGTTGTCCTTCCATGAATCCCTAATCCTATGATCGTGATTATCAGAGCACGTGCGCAGCGGAAAGCCAGAGGCAGATGTGACACCTGAGTTCACAGAGTACACTCTAATATGTGTGTGAATAGCTGATGAGGTTTCACAGCAGAGGGATGAATATTCACATGTGAAGCTAGGCATCATCAAGAAACATTTGTGTGAAAATAGAGAAGAACGAGAGAGATCGTAATAGAAAAAAAAAACAGAGGGAAGACACAGAGGGAGTGAAGCAGTTTAACAGCTAGTCTGGGAAAACCCAGACAACTTCTGGCAAATTTAGATTTGCCCTGAAAGTTAGTCTGGCAAAGAGCTCATTCAAACCCATTTCCAGTCCATCGAAATCGTGGCACCAATCAGAAACGTTGGGGCGGGCTTTACATGATGATGACAGTGCTGGGATTTTGAAGCAGATTTTGTAGCCTACATTACAAAGATGGATGCCGCCGTCGAACATCAGTTCGAATCAGCGATCACATCTGTTTTAAGCGATCTGAACGTTTCCTTTTTGTTAAAAACCGAGCAAAGAACAACACTCGGAGAGGTTTCAACTGAGTATGGTCTGGTTTTAACCAGGTTTTATAGATGGGGGCGAGATGGGATGTGTGCCAGGGAGCCACGCTTAAGGATCGACGAATGATGGGGTCAAACGTCAAAGTGGGTGAAGGACTATGCAACTTTCAAAAGAAAGCTCATGTAAATTACCCTAACACAACACAAATCTGCACTGACAAGCTGGTGTGACGTCACTGTTACTGTCCCCTTGTACAAATCTCAATAATACGGAGCCTGTTGAAGAAAAAAATATGATATGAGATCGGAGGAAATATTTGATATCAATCAATGTTTTTGCATTTTCTCGAAAATCAAATTGGCGTTCCCCTAAATGTTTGCGTTTCCATGAGAAACTTTGTGTTCTCTCAGAAAGAATATAAAAGTTTTGCAAGCAAAAGCAAAGTTTCTTGTAGGAACTCAAAAGCACTGAAATATATTTCATCTCATTTTTTTCTTCTCCATCACCATGTGCCTTTAGGCACTCCGTACAATCCAACCCTCTACTTCTGCCACAAAGGACATGTCAAAATTGTGTCTTACCATCTGTCACTCAAACTCGCTTGCTGAAACGCAATGCTTTAAAAATAGTGTCTGAGTAGAAATCTTTCTTTTCATCCTTTTTTCTGTGAAATAACAATGGCCATGAAGCCATAATTCTCCATTTTGAATGAGGTAATATCACAAGGTATATGAGGGTATTGAATTGCAGCAGTGCAATGATGACTCATAAAAGCAGCCTTGTTAATATGACATTATAGTTTATAAAAGTGAACTGCTAGACAGAGTGTGAGATTGCAATTGCTTTAACACACTCCTATAGAACCGAGTCTTAAAATAATAAGACAACTATTTGCAAGTATCAAAAAAACCATTTATACTGACAGGGATAAATATTAAGCATGGTATTTTCGCACTTACTACATAATATCACATAAAACTGGTATTTTTAATTGTAATAATATTTCACAATATTATTGTTTTTACTGCCAATGGGGAGCCATGGGGAGCATAAGAGACTAGTTTCAAAAACATTTAACTGATCTGGTAAAGGTAAATTAATAATGTAACAGGAATATAATTTTAACATATTTGGAAATCTAATTTGCTAGGACTGGTAGGAAATCATGAGTTTAATATTGATCATTTAATCCTATTAACAATTCACTTTTTTTTTTTTTTTTTACATATTTAAGAGATATTAGGTCAAATAAATATCGACATAATATTTTAATAATTTTATATTTTAATACATTTTAAATTTAATTTATTAAGTGGCAACAGTTGTGCTGCTTAATATTTTTTGGTCAAAAACAATAATTTTTTGTATCTTTTTTTGTGGTTTCATTAACCTAATTTTGATGTGTGATGCTTAAACTATGCAAACTTAAACTTATACATTTATACATATACATATTGCCATTTAATTTGGATGTAGTCAGTTGATTCCAGATTTGAAGTTGCTGAACCCAAGCTTCACATCAACATGGCACTTCAATTCCAGTGCTTGCATCAGCAGCATGTTGGCACAGATGAGGCATTAGTTGTTACCTGGGCAGGGCACAGTGCAAGACTCCTGCAGGATGATCTGTTTGTCTCCATCCACTGTCTGCTCCAGGTCTCCACAAAGTTCCTCATCCACCATACTTCCCGGATCCTTCCCCGAGCCGTCAGACACGAAGCAGGAGACATTCCTAAAGCGCAGGCCTTCTCCACAATGTGCGCCCTGAGGAAATGCAGAGTTTTGACATTAACAACTACAATTGGACACCAGCTGTAGTGAAAAACAACTTTTTTGTAGTCCTAAAGGAGATTGAGGATGGATTCTACACACAAATGCAGCTTCTTTAGAGCTCTAGACCTGGAAAGGGCAAAACTTCTCATGGTGATACAAAATAAGGGAATAAATCCCAGCATTGTTTCTCAGTCCTTATGTTTCGCACTGTCAGTTACCGGCATTATTTTTTCATGGCTGCTGAAAATCTCTGAAAACATGGGGCACAAGTGCTGGAGACTGCTGAGGGCTGTCAGAAGACACTTTAGAGACAGGCAGCCGAGAACAAAGGCCAGAGTCAATATTCTCTCACAGCCTGCACTGTGACAGGAGCATGAGGTATGGGGGGAAGGAGGAAAAGAGGAACGGAGAGAGGGGGTGTCTTCTGTCTGTTGTCTTTAATTAAACCCCCTGTTGGGCCCTGAAAGCCAGACTGATGACAGGAGGAAGACGGCAGCAGAAATACTGTGAAAAGGCCAAAGCAGGAGAGGATTTGGGAATATTCTACATACCGAAACACTGATGCAGATAACATGAATTGCTGGTGGTTTGTTATAGGGAAAAGTGCCAACCTTGTGACAATAATATACCAAAAAAAAAGCTAAGTAATGTGTACTTAATCAGGTTAAACTGCTACACATTACTTTGTAAATTTAATATCTACAATGCCTTTTCAAATAAATAATGTGCAGTCATTTTTCCATTTATTTCATTTAATAAAATAAATTTAATTTATTATTTTGTTTATTTATTCCCAATGACAATTTACATATATATATATATATATATATATATTTTTTTTTTTTTTTGTGGAAACCACAATATTTTTTTCAAAAATAATAGCATTTAATTGAAATAGAAATATCTTGTAACATTAATATTCTAAATGTCTATACTGTCATTTTCATTTAATGCATCTTTGCTAAATATAATAGCCTCCCCTTAAAAAAAAATATAACTTATGTGTCTGATTTACTGTTTTCACCCGGGTCTCTCACACCAAAGGCATGTGTCTTATCCACTGCGAAATCAACACCCCTCTTAAAGGAGTAGTTCACTTTAAAAAAAAAAAAAAAAAAAAAACTTTTGCTGATAATTTACTCACCCCCATATCATCCAAGATATCCATGTCTTTATTTCTTCAGTCAAAAAGAAATTAAGGTTTTTGATGAAACATTCCAAGATTTTCAGCTTTTTTTAAAAAAAATGAGCGATCGTTTCGCTTGATAAGACCCTTATTCATCGTCTGGAATCGTTTAAAGCTCTTTGAACAGTTTGAAGTTTGCACTGAAACTGTCTTTTGGACCTTGAGTGCATTATATGGAGAAAAATCCTGGAATGTTTTCATCAAAAACCTAAATTTCTTGTCAACTAAAAAAAGAATGACATGGATATCTTGGATGACATAGGGGTGAGTACATCATCAGCAAAAGTTTTTTTTTTTTTTTTTTTTTTTTTTTTTTTTTTTTTTAAGTGAACTAGTCCTTTAAAAAGTCAGAAAATGAAACTTATGTATGCAAAGTACACATACAGTAATATAAAATTGCATATAGTCGAGGATCAACATCTACTACAAAAGTTTCTTAAATATTTAGTTCAGCTTTTAGCTGAGCGGATCATGAGCAAACTCACCTCAGATTTGCATGGAGACCAGGCACTGTACCTCCAGCTGTAGCAGGGTCTAACAGGACAGGGCTTCCACTGTTCCAGCTGTGAGGAACACGGCCGTCCATCTCCCTGAGAGGCCTGGATCACAGTTCTCCTCCTCCACAGCTTCCCTACAAGAAAGATTGAAGAAAAGAGATGCTGTATTGCAATATTGTTAAATGCCTTTATTCCCTTTAGGCCAGGATTAGGCCTTAGTTCATTTAGGACATTCAAGAGTTTTTTTTTTATTTTTTTATTTTTTTTTTTTTTATAAACAGACCCTTATTTATTGTTTAGTGCCGTTTAAATCCCTTTGAAGCTGCACTGAAACTGTCTTTTGGACCTTGAACCGTTTGGTTCCCAATGAAGTCCATTATGGAGAAAATCCTGGAATGTTTTCATCAAAAACCTTAATTTCTTTTTGACTGACAAAAGAAAGACGTGGACATCTTGGATGACATGGGGGTGAGTAAATTATCAGCAAATGTATTACTCAGCTCCCCAGCAGCTCCCCATGGCTGCTTTTATTTATTACTTATTTATTACTTTATTACTATTAATTTATTACTAAGGCAAGGGGGTTTCCTCACTTTTTCTAAGTGAGTCAACTGATCACTGATTATACCGTGTAGCTACTCTGTGGACAGATGTGTAAAGTCCAGGGGTCAGAAAGTAAAAGTCCTTCCATATCTTTGAACTCAGCCAGCTGATTTCACTAATTAGTACAATCTCCTGGCTGAAAAAAAAACTGTGCTAATTAGCAAATCCAGAGGACTTTTACTTTCTGAACCTGGATTTAACACCTCTGCTTCTGGAATTTAATAGTGAACAACCAAGTTTACATTCATTCTCAATGTCTCAAGGTCTAACAAATGTGTGGAAAGCATTTTTTTCCCCATAAATGGTAAATGGATATTGTGATAAATATTGATATAATATAATGTGGGAAACAATATTGTGAGAATATTTTTGGCCATATCGCCCAGCCCTAGTTTGAGGTTTGTCATGGTAGCAATATAACACTTTTTATACGACATGACCGATGTTATTTCAAATTCACTCTCACATAAGAAGTACAACGCCCTAGTTTTCCTGCTGCTCACCGACAAAGATTATATTCATCATCTTATGCTTTAACCTCAAGAAAGTGACTCCTCGGATGAAACAAAGGCTTTTACTGTAAGTGAATCATCTTATGTTACACACACTAATCTCAGGTAACTCAATCTCTCTCCAATGGAATGCCAAAAACGATATGTAACCTGAAAGTCTTTATTTCTGTGTAGTAATGTTCCTTCCTTTCTGTGAATAACTTAATCTGCCAAGCATTTTTCAAGCCTAATTCCAGTCCCTGAAAGCACTCTGAATATTCATCTCCCCCCTCTTGATTTTCTTAAATGAATTCCAGAGGGCTGAGGAGAGGGATGGGGAGAAATGGAGTGTAGACTCTTTCAGGCAGAATGCATCCTGCTGTTTAAAAGTGAAGCCCAGGGGAAGCTTGCAATAAAACTCCACAAGAGCCATTATTTTGCATGGTAGGTGGTAACACAAAGAACTCAATGACAAAACCTTCAAAAAAAATGTGTATTATTTAAATTACTAGATGATCACGACAAGATCACTTAAAGGATGTATTCTGCAACATTATTTTATTGAGCAAATGAATCAGTATAATACCACTTCTAGAGATCTAATCCTAACTCGTAATCTTCTTTCTCCGTGAATGGAATTTGACGTTGGTAAGATTTAAAAAAAAAAGTTTGTTGAAAGTTTTCTAAAGCTCACCGCGGCTTTCTTTGTCAAAATTGAAGTAAAAACAATAATATTGTGATTATATATATTTATATATATATATATATATATATATATATGAAGAGTTCAGATGCAAAAGCCTCTAAATGCCATTTGAAATTTTCTTCTTTAATGATGATTTTTGTCAAACTTGTATATTTTAGTTCAGTAATTTCACTTAAATAACAATTGTAATCATCATTGCCATTTAAGTAAAATCACTGAACTTAAATATACAAGCTTGACAAAAATCATCATTAAAGAAGAAAATTTCAAATGGCATTTAGAGGCTTTTGCATCTGAACTCTTCATATATACTGTATATAGATATATGAAGAGTTCAGATGCAAAAGCCTCTATATAATTTATATATATAATTTTATATAATTTTTATATATAATTTTATATATATATATATATATGTTTTAATTTATATTTCAATATGTAATTTATTCCTAAGATGGCAAAGCTTTAGTGTCATTCAGAAATGATTCTAATATGCTGATTTGCTGGCTAAGACACATTATCTATGTGGATATAGGCTGTTTTTTATTTATTTTTTCCCCCAGCATACTTTGATGAATACAAAATGCATTTGCATTTATTGAAATCAAATGTTTTTGTAACAATGTAAAAGTCTTTACTGTCACTTTTGGCTATATAATGCAATAATAATAATAAAATAAGAAATACAACAAACACAAAAACAAGCACAAAAGTGAAACTCCGCCTACGGTTTGTGAATAAGATTGAAATATATATCCCAGCAAAACGTCATCAGGCCAAGCAGATTCTAGGCTGGGGTTGGGTAAGACTGTGTCTAATACTAACTTAGTTTTATTTTGGCTGGATGCACACAACCTCGAAGGGCACCACTAGGAACTTCATAATGTTAAACATGATCACAGCCCAGTTCCCATCTGACACGTTGCCCTAAAGCAAGTTGTACCAGATGCAATTCATCTTCACCGTAGCCTGCCATGATGGACCATCCCTGCGGAGAATCCTCTCTGAAGCTCGCTGCTTTCCAGCAGCCACAAACCAAATCAACTGCCAGTGCCTTGCTGCCTCTTTTTATATGCTGGGTTCAGTTGGGAAAACTATACATACACAAGTGCTTGTGTGCTTTTGTGAGAGTTTTTAGCTGTAGGGATCTCTTATTTTCTCAGTTTTCTCTCTCTCTGTCTCGACTGGTGGCCGAAACGTCAGGTTTAGGGCAAACAGTAAAAGCAGCGAGCCATAGGAAATCCAACACAAGCTCTTTCGCTCATGGCTCCACTCACAACTGAGTGTTTTGCTTTGAACTATTGTTAGATACTGTTTGTCACACCTAAAGGCCCTTGCACACTGAGTCCGAAATTCACGTCCGATATTTTCGCACGTTAAAAAATGAATACGGCCTCACGTTATGTCAATGATGCTAGCGCACTGCCACCGAAACTTTTGTCCGTCATAGAAAAAATCGAGTCGGGTTCGAATCGAATCCTAAGTTTATATCTAGCAATTCTGACTTAATAACTCACAACTCACAGTTCTGAGAAATAAAGTCAGAATTGTGAGATAAAACTCAAAGAAGACTCTGGCAGTGCACAGGCACCTGCCTGATAGTTAGCTTATATTGATTGAAAGAAAGAAAAAAAAATATTTCATTGCCAAGATATATACATGTATCTTCTGGAATAGAGCAGTGTAAATATTGCATGAGGCCATCCTCAACCTTACAGTAGGCTACTTATGACACTCCATGTGACACAATTTCTGTTCAGTAATCAACGATTGTTGTTATGCACTGGGCTAACGTTTAGAGTTTTAATTTGCGGGTAGTTAACGTTGCAGTTACCGTGCTGTAACTTTAGCTATTTACTGCATATTGCACAAAGGAACGTGCCATAACGGACATGCAATACTAACATTACATGATCACACCAATGACTCTCATTCACTTAGCCTGCAAATTCCTAGCTAGCAGTTACTAGTGTAAAAAAATCGGTGTACAGAAGGCTACTTCAGTTGGCTTACTTGAAAAGTCAATGAACCACGTTCTGTTTTCTATCATGTTCCGTGCACGTTTGCGATGACGTAAGATGCATGCAAACGCACCAGGAACAATCGTTAACGATTGCCGGGATCAACGAGATGGTAATCACTGCAGAACACAAAATCCAGGGGTAGGAGTTGGTTTCCTTACATACACCTAATCTTACCCATCTCCACCCCCTGATCTTTAACCCCACCCCTAATCATACCCATCTCCACCCCCTAGTCCCTAATCCTACCCATCTCCACCCCCTTATCCCTAACCCCACCCCAATCCTACCCATCTCCACCCCCTGATCCCTAACCCCACCCCAATCCTACCGATCTCCATCCCCTGATCCCTAACCCTACCCCTAATCCTACCCAGCTCCACCCCCTGATCCCTAACCCTACCCCTAATCCTACCCAGCTCCACCCCCTGATCCCTAACCCCACCCCTAATCCTATACATCTCCACCCCCTGATCCATAACCCCACCCCTAATCCTATACATCTCCACCCCCTGATTCATAATCCCACCCCTAATCCTACCCATCTCCACTCCCTGATCTTTAACCCCACCCCTAATCCTACCAATCTCCATCCCCTGATCCCTAACCCCACCCCTAATCCTATCCATCTCCACCCCCTGATCCCTAACCCCAACTCTAATCCTACCCATCTCCAACCCCTGATCTTTAACCTCACCCCTAATCCTAACCATCTCCACCCCTGATCCCTAATCCTACCCCTAATCCTATCCATCTCCACCCCCTGATCCCTAACCCCCACTCTAATCCTACCCATCTCCACCCCCTGATCTTTAACCCCACCCCTAATCCTACCCATCTCCACCCCCTGATCATTAACCCCACCCCTAATCCTACCCATCTCCACCCCCTGATCCCTAACCCCACCCCTAATCCTACCCATCTCCACCCCTTAGATCTGGATCCAACTCTGCCTCCTGTATCTTGAGTACTGCAATGAGGTGCTACTGGGAACAATGGTGCTCACAGCAAATGAGCCCAGTGTGAAGGCACACTGAAACGTCAACCACCCGGCATAGTGTAGTGGTTTCATGGGGGTGGAGTCACACATGGATATAGACTGGCACATCGCAGTCAGACATGCACAAGCGAGGAAGTTTCATTTTAGGCTCTCCAACATTTTATTTCTCCTTTTAATAATCAAACTATTCAGTCACATAGGTATATGTTGTGAAAGAACTACAGTTACAATTTCAAGCATTTGATCAAACAATGTAAGCACTTTTCAAACCTTGAAAACGCAACATCAAAATTCAAGCATTTTCAGGGATTTCAAGCACCCGTACGAACCCTTGTGAGGACTTCTCTGTTTCTGTGAAAGGCTAGAGATCACCGGTTGATTCTTTGTCTTTGAGGGAATCCATCCTGGGGACAGATTAAAGATGCTACAATGAACTAAACCAGCACAGGTTTCAAACATTGGCAGGGTTTGCTCTTGCTGTTGCTGGTCATTGACTCTCAAAGACCACGTGTAGTGGAACGGTCTCTTAGGCCCCAAGCACACAAACATAATGGGCCCCTAATCAATCGTAAGAGCAGATGGAATTACACTCAAGGACATCATTATCCTCCTCTCAAATGCTGCTGCAGTGTGATAACACAATTGTTCTCACACCATAATTTTTTGGTCAGCCAACGCTTTGGTAATTCTAAGACGGCAGAGAGCTCAGTATAATGCCCTAAAACCTGCCATTTGAGGAACAAGTCATGTTAGCTCATATCAAAGACTAGCGTTTTGGACCACAAGACACAAATACCCTCCTGAGGCTTTTGAATTAGTCTGAAACAGACTGTTAGACTGCTGAGAGTGTGAATTAACCAAGCCATGCAAATTTAATAATATCCCAAAAACATTTTTGTGTGTGTGTGTGTGTGTGTGTATTCTGGCAGATATCGAGGTGTTCAATTCAAGGTGTTGGCCTACCTGCAAGACCACAGGTGTGAGAGCATTCAGACCAAGACGACCAATCAGACAGCTGGCAGTTGACAGGGCACTCGACCACACAGGAAGCGTTCATCTGCCATTTTTTATCGAGACCAAGCTAAAGGAACAGAGATCAATTTATTCAGGTGGATTTTCAAAAAAAGCACCAGTTGTAAACAATGGCTTATGAACTGAAAAGTACCTCCTCGCAAAACTTCAGGTCCACGGACTTGGCATCACTGCGAACACAGTCCAGCATGCGTGTCTTGAATCCAATCCCGCACACGGCTCGCTCACTCAGCTGACATGTGCTCCAGTCTGGATGGGAAATATAGATACATAACAAAATTCTTCTAGCCTGAACCTGATCAATTATTTTGAATCATCCTCTTTCCCTTTATCATGTGAAAATTCATACCTGGGACCTCAGTGTTGTTATTGAAAGCTAAAACTAACATTATTTAAAAAAATAAAAAAATAAAAAATAAATAAATAATTTAAAAAATGTTAGTTGAAAAGTTGAAAAACTTAAACTTAAAATAAAAAATAGGAATGTTGCCTGAAACTGTAATAAAATAAGTGTATGTTAAAGAGCTAAAATGACTGAAACTGAAATAAAATATTAAAAAAAAAGAATAAAATGACCAAATCGCATAGCATATAAATGACTAAAACTTAAATATAAAAGTCAATTCGAAATATTACTATAATAGTATATTTAAATAATACTAAAATAACACTGGTATGTAAAATAATAATAACAAAATTATTAACAGAGGAGAAAAAAAAAATAAAGTCAAATAAAATGTTTATGTTTTTATCAAAATAATAATATTATATAGCCTAATATATTGCCTAATTATTTTATCCAAAGCAACTTGAAATGCATTCAATGTATTCATTTTCTCATATCAGACGCATGACCTTGGAGTTGTGAGCAGATGTTACTATTTAAAGAAAAAACATGTATTATGTGGAAATTAGTTTATTATCAGTATTAGGAAAAGTAAAGAGAATTCCAACGGACACTTAATTATTTCTTTAATCAATTAAAATGAACCTGAACAGAATATGAAGGTCATGGCAGACACTAGTCCTAATTGGCAAATCAAAACAGTTATTTTTAGTGCAGTCAAATCAATTTATCACGATTTGACAGCACTATTTTTTAGTCTTTGCATGGATCTGGTAGCTAACAAATGTTCTAGATAAGATGCAGTCAATATACCTGTGATATTATAGGAGTAATGGAAGCAGTTGGTGTTCAGAGTGCATGCTTCTTTCTCTGTAGTGGAAGGACACTCTTTCCCTTTACCAGGCTGACGTATAGGGCTGGCGGTCCTCTGCCTTGTGCTGTTCACATTGCAAGGCTTCAAAAACAATGGACAAATAATGATCAATAAACAACACAAAAACTAAAGAGAATGCTTTTTGAAATATTCAGCATGTGCAGCGGATTAATTTGGCTTTCATAATCTCCTTGCTATTTCTAAGGGAAATAAATTCATCTCAGTAGTCATGCGTAAGATGTAAGCCTTCCCGCATTTTAACCACAGGGACAGTCTCAGTATCCATGACATTTAGCAACCCTTGCAGTTTGGTGGCAGCATGCCTGGGAATCACACTGAGACAGACATGAGATCTGTCTATATTATTACTCTGCCTTTATTTAAAGGAGTAGTTAACTAAATTTAAATAAATAAATAAATAAAACTGTGATTTTCATCAAATCATCAAAAAGTTTTGTAATCATCAAATTATGTACTATTGGTTCTTTTTTTTTTTTTGGAAATCAGCTGTTGTTTTTTTTTGTTTGTTTTTTGTTTGTTTTTTTATTTGGGAAATATGATTTTGTGCTACATTGAACATTAGACTTGTTCCTGATCAATGTCTCCACTCACCAGTGGGCATCGACTCCAAGAGCCCCAGTCAGTCAGAACGCAGTCTTCGGGACAGGGGAGTTTGCTCTCTCTGGCCCCAAGAGGCATCTCTTCCGGATCACAGAGATAGTCTTCTACAGGGTCTGAAGGTCCATCAACAGTGTTTTGCATGCACCTTCATGAAATGAAACATTTGTTAGAAGGACTATCATGAACTTAGCAGGAAGGTGCATTACTGGTAATAATGTTGCTTATGCTGTTGTTGTTGTTCAGTCATACCTAACTTTCCTCGTCTGTACACCTTCCCCACAGTTCTCTTTCAGATCGACATTGCTGACCTTCCAGACACTCCACGGCTCAGCCACCCAGACATACTGACTGCAGTCGCTCAGACACGGTACCACTTCATACACCTGAGGAGACGCCACAGAGCTTTCAGCTGGGCATTCGAAAACTCACTTTTCTGTCACACTGCTCACCAATGTTTTTGTGGAATAATAAGCTTTTGTGTAAAAGCTTCATTGGTGAGAGTTTACAATGAGATTTAATTCAATCAACATCAGTTCATTCTTTAGTTATCATGAATTTTCAGATATTTACAGCATTTATGAATAAGGTTATTCATAATTTATAAATATATTATGGTTTGTTAGGGAAAAAGTTTGGGGTTAGTAAGATTTTTTTATTTAAATGCTTTCTTTTTTTTTTACACCAAAAGTGACAGTAAATGCATTTATAATTTTGCAAAAGATTTATTTCAAATAAACACTGTTCTTTTGACATTTCAATTCATTAAATAATCCTGAAAAAAAGTAAGCAGCACAACTGTTTCCACATTGAAAATAATAAGAAATATTTCTTGAGCAGAGAACCAAATCATCATATTATAGAATTATTTCTGTGACACTAAAAATAAACTTTGCCATCACATGATAAATTATATTTTATAATATTTTAAACTAGAAAACAGTTATTGTAAGTAGTAATAATTCACAATATGACTAACTGTATTTTTGATCAAATAAATACAGTGTTGGAGAGCATAAGAGATATATTATAAAATAATAATAATAATAATAATAATAATAAAACTTAAACCAACACCAAACTAAAATCAATTAATAAACTAAAATTAACTTATGCCAATTAAAATATCTCAGTCAACATACAAAATTTAATTAACAGATTAATAAATGCTGTAAATAAATAGTAAATGCTAAAATAGTAAATAATAAATGCTGTAAATATTTGCATTCAACAGTAGTGCCCATTTTCCTTTCAGTTACATCACACAATTAATATTCATGAGCCAATCTAGCCAGGTTTATAAAGTGTCCTGACACTTTTAAGATAATTCCTTCGCCTTTGGGCCTCAAAGTCATACATTTATCAAGATCTTGAATTAATAATTGATCAAAAAATTATCATTATCTAAAGACTATCATTATTGTTCAAAAAGATAACTGGTTAACAAGATGTGCAGCGTCATCAATCATTTAAAATGTGATTTTTATTTTTTTATTTTTTATTTTTTTTACCTGAGCCTGTTGCAGGATTCCCGTCACGATAAGAGAGAAGATGAAAGAGGGAATGTGGAAAACAGAGAAGTTGTTACATGCCATGTATTAGCCACTTCCAAAACCAATTAATGATGTGTAAATACACACAGTTCCAGCCTAGAGAATTTTAAATCTAAATATACGAAACAGTTTCCCATGATTATATGAAAATATTAGTAAACCCTATTGATGTGCATTAAAGAAACATGCTATTCCGTTTGGTCCTTTGATCAAACATTTACAGCACGCCGGTAATTAATCATTAAAACAAGACGAGCAAATACAGTATAACAGGGTCCCTGCATACCTGATTAACATGGTCCAATTTGGGGCATGGCCTGCCACCATTATAAGGCTTCTCCCGAAGCCACTTGGACCGTACTTTGACACCACTGCCGCATGACTTGCTGCAACGGGACCAGTTTGACCACTCGCTGAGCTTACAGTCAGATGGACAGGGGATGATACACGCTTCCTCTATGTAACCTATGAGAGAGTTGAATAGCTAGTCAAACAAACATGATGCAGTTTTGACGCTGGTTACTGGAGTTGGTCTAATACATTGTGACAGGTGACACAGTATCGAGTGTCTATGTTAAAGCGGAGTTAAGGTCAAGCGTATGGCATTTGCACTGATATGGTCTGCTGAAGTTTCATTTTCACATCACAACTTGCAAAGGTTATGGTTCCATTCTGGAAATTCTTGATGGGAAACCTGCTCTGGTTTTAAGTCTTCCACATCAAGTGGTTCATAATACTTTGCTTCTTCAAATATATAATATGCTACATACAGTAATATTGTATAATTATATTATCACAATACAGAAAAAAAAATCAAATAAACATTATTTAAAAAACATTATTGAGGTAAATCATTTTAACAGAACTTGACTTCTAAAGCAGAAATCCATGCGATTCAAATATTGAATATAATATAATAAAATATTAAATAAGATATAATAAAAAAGATAACTGCAACTTTCTATGTCACAATTCTGTTTTTTTATGTTTTATTATGCTTACTCAGAATTTTAAGGAAAGACAAGTCTGAATTGTGAAATCAAAACTCTGAACTGTGAGAAATGAAGTGTGTTATGAACTCAGAATTCTGAGGAAGTGAATGAATTTTGACATATAAACTCAATGATAAACAAACAAATTTTGTTTATTTTATGATAAATAAAATCAGAATTGTGAGAGGCTTATACATGAATTCATCAGATTGTGGGAAATCTTAATTTTAGATAGTTTGTATTTGTACATTTTAATTATTAGATGTCATTTTAAAAATCAAATAAATAAAATAAAATGTAATTTTATTAATAGCTTAAATTAACGCAAATAACAGTATGTATAGTCAAGTCAAATTAAGAGTTAATGTTAAATTATTAAATGTAAATATTGTTAATATTTTGTTAATTACCTTAGTATTGGTAAAAAAAAAACTCCTTAGCCTGGTTTAGATTATACAATTTTAGCCCGATTTTGGCAAGATCTGTTTGACGTAGGGTGTCGTGGGGATTCGATTGTATCATCTCGTATTGTGTGTCATAGAGGGAGACAACCTACGTCGCGTCTGCAACGCTTCACAACATCACGACAAAAAAACTAGCATGTTTAATTTTTTTAACGGTCGTCCACGACGGTTCTGTCACATGCATGAGGTTGACCAATAGGAACACAGAAGCTTTTCCGTACACAACTTTCAAAAATGGAGAAACGAAAGAGAGACGAACACTCACCGCTTCATCCATTGTTTGTTTACGTTCGTTTCCGGAAGTCACTCTACTAGTTTCGCCTTCTCAATGAGATCACGCGCGCCGCTAAAGACGGTATGCGATGACTGGTCAGAACGCAACGAGTAGTTTGACATGTGTCTTGTCCATGACACGACAAGATTTTAGGAGTCAAAATCGCGTAATCTGACACAGTGACTATCGTAATTTAATCTGTAATGTAATCTGAACCAGGCATTATACACTCTCATACACAGTTTTTGTATTACACAGTCTGAATTTTAAAAATAAATTGGACAACACAATAAATAACTTATATGCGGTCATGAATATATACTCCAAGAGTATAGATATCTGTAACACTTTTGAACCAGAATCCCTAATAAAAGAAACTTCATAGTTGGATTAAACACCCTCCACCCGACACAAATCGCCTTGGGCAACATGTCAATCTGACAGCCTCACAAAATGGCAACCACGCTTCAAATGATGAGGGGTATGGGGTCTGATTGGAGCGAGGGATGTCTCAGAAGCAGCGGGCGAGAGAAAGAGAAACACCCTGTCTCCGTCAGCACATCTTCTCTCTAAGTATGCCGAGTCTTTGAGCCACTCACGGGCACCCAGCTGAGAGCGTACAATCCCTACCAGAGGAGCGTGACTCATAAAGAGAGAGGCCTTAACGTCACAGAGCTCCTGCATTGCCCAGAACATTCCACATGCATTGATCTAAAGCTGTAGTTTGCCACAGTCTAATCTCGGGCTCAGAGGAGAGGATTGCCAAATGCTCGTTTCTGAGCTCCTTGATTCAGGAGGTGGTGAAAGGTGCCCAAACAGAATTAGACAAACACAAGCGCATTTTCCAACAAGACAAGCTCTTTGCTTTCTTTACTTGAGATGGGCTAACTAAAAGAAAGGACTTTGGCAGACGAGATAAACATATTCAGAAAAATCCCAAAACGCTCACTGCTTTTTGTGCATTTCAGGTCTATTTTTAGTTTGACGCATACAATTGAAGGGTTTCATATACATATAGTTCAGTCATGAAACTAGATGGCACAGGCTGATAGGTCATTTACTTGCAAACTGCAAGCAATCACATCATTACCATTTATTTATTTATTTCAGGTTTATTTAACAGGGACAATGCACACTAATGATACATGATTAAATGTACAGTGTGCCAGAATTAGCCAGTAGGCTATTTTACATCTGCTGTCCCTGGACAGATCTTGATGTCACACCTAAAACAAAAAAACAACAACAAAAAAAACATAAAAACAATATGTCTAGGACAATAACTAATGTCAAAGGTTTCCCCTATCTAAACACAAGAGAAAACAATGAGCCAGCCAACCGTATTGGCATAGCACAGGAGACACAGACAAGCAAACAGACTAATAAAAATAAAAATTAACAACAAAAAAAAAAAGTAAATAAAAAGGCAGGACAAGAAACAGTGCAGGGGTGGGGTGGTAATGGCGCAGTGGATAAGACAATGCCTTTGGTGTGAGAGACCTGGGTTCGAATGCACTGTGAGACACCAAGGTGTCCCTGAGCAAGACACTTAACCCCTAGTTGCTCCAAAGGCATGCGACCTCTAGCATTTATAGCAATTGTCAGTCGCTTTGGATAAAAGCGTCAGCTAAAGGAATAAATGTAAAACGTAAATGTAAATCACCATATGGCACAAGCTAATTGGCGTCTGCTGATTGCTCGATCAACATTTAAAGGGTAATTCCACTGATGGAGACATGAATATGTATTGAAAGTGGGTCATATATGTACGTAGTAGAATAGCATCATAAATTTCCAATTTGGGTCCTTCTTGGCCGATAAAAGGCAGAAAATGACTTTTTAGTGCTTGTGGATTGTAGACAACAATCCCCATAGTGCATTGCAATGCTCAGCCGGCCACTCCCACTACTCCGCCTATCAATGTAGGCTAAAGTTGAGCTCCACTCTATGCTAACGCCTGGAAATCATTTCGCACAATGAAATCAGATAATGCACGCTAATATATGACGACGTTAGAGCGTCAAGGAGGCGCCCGCGCCATCAGCCAATGGATTGGCGTGATTCTGTATGGGCTTCAGACAATCGGCACACTTACCGTACGTTCACACCGGCGCCTGCGAGAGCGGCAAAATTCGCTCTTTCCGCTCTGTTAACGACGCCGTGGAAAGATTTGTGAATGCTCTGACGTAGATCGAATGCATGGGGGGAAAAAAAAAAACGCTATTTAAATGGGCCACAAAGCAAACAAGCATGTCAGTCGTTATTTTTGCAGAAAATTGATCGATGGAAATAACTTTAAAATTATAGTGACATGTTTGCTAAACGAAATCAACAAATTAAAAGCCATACGTGTGTGGTGTGGCTTGTGTGTTCATGGTTAAGTGCTAAAAAAAGTGTTCTAGCACGAAAATCTTGCCTATAAATAGTGTTGCGCGCCCTCTTATCAAATTCAAATTATCAATCTCCTCTATTTTGCTTGGGAACTAATGTGGCCGGAACCAAAGTTTACAGGACTGCGTTCTCTGGGATTCTCTCAAACGGAGCACTTCTATATTCCGATTGGTTGCCGCCGAACCGCGTCATTGCTTATTACCATAAAGTTGAACTGATTTCAACTCTGCTCGCCGCTCTCGCCGTCCGAAACGCGCCGCGCCGCTCTCGCCGGAGCTCGCCGCCGGCTCTCAATGAAAATAAATGACTTCCGGCCACTTTGACGCTCTCGCCGGTGGCGGTGTGAACGTACAGTTACTCTGACGCGTAATTTTATGTGAAATGTGAAATGCAGCCAAACCTTGGAGCATTTTGTCTTTCGGCATCTTCATTAATCCACTCGCTATCAGACGTTCCGTGAGTCACGTTCCGTATGTTGATAATGGCTCGCTGATGCCCGCAAATTAGTTAAAATCTCCCGGAATCTAGAGCGAGTGAGCAAGAGCGCGCATGCGAGACAGATCCGACTGTGCTCCAAACTGTATAGTGCGCGCACGAGGGAGAGACTTTGCGTGTGTTCGCCTCATGACACAGAGACTCAGGCACCGAAATTTTCGTTCTTATTCGGTCTGGTTATTGCCGTTTACGTCGGAACCGGTTCCCTATTCGGTACCCAACCCTATCCATAAAGCATCCGTCAGCGTATTCAGTACCTTCGTCCATATTTTCAAAAAGTTTCTGCCGGTGAAATCAAACATATGGGCGGGTTTGAAAGGGTGGGAACTAGTGCTTGTAGTCTTTACAGAACCCCCCCCCCATTTACACTTCCTCCTACAGTGACGTAAAATGACGATTTTTGCAGAGGGAATGAAAAAGGTCTCAGGGAAAAATGAGAGAGTGTTGCACGACCATTCAATAGTATGACTGGATTTGTAACAATGGAAATCTTAATGCAAAATGGGTGGAGTGTCCCTTTAAATAGTCTGATTCAGTTTTTGTTGTAAGCTAGTCCTGCAGCGCTCTATCAGAGTTCCTCTAAAAACCCTCCAGCTATACCAGTTACAGGATTTATGTAGCAGAGTGTGTCTGTGTATCTATTAGCAGTAACAAATACTTGCTCTGCAACAGCAATCAATCAAATGACATGTCATCTTTTTCTTCACCCACCGTGACTGTTGCAGCGTGACGTCTCCACGAGCCGGTTATCCTGGTCATAACACACCATGGCTTGAAACCGGTAACCCTGCCCGCACTCCTTGATATCCCCTTGCACTTTCATACCCAACAGGCCCTCTACACGTCCACCCTCGGGAAGGATGCAGTCGGACCAGTTCCCCACAGGCTGGGCGTTGTACTTGTTGCAGGGGCAGTACTGGGTTTCGCTCAGAGGATACATCTGTGTGTTTTTACATTGCTCTCTCTTTTTGCTTTTACCTGTGTCCAAACACACAAAACAATCGCACAATAATTAGATCAAAAGTTTTGCACATACGTGATCCTGTAATGGTATTTAGCTCCTTTGGTCAAAACACACTGGTAATCATGAGTAAGCAGACTCATCCAAATTGAAAGACCTATGGCACTAATCTCATGTAATCCCTTTTGCAAAGTTACTTGACTTACAGCAGGTCTTCCAAAGGCCAAATAAGTACTTGGCACGCACCCTGTATTTTGTTAAACTCTAAGTAACTGGCTAAGCTTCTCATGGCACTTTATACTAAAGGTTAAGACACATTTCCGGATCAGGTGAAGTTCAGGCATTTGCATCTAACAGAAAGCATTTTTGTAAAACTACTTGTAACACAACGTCCTCCTGTAACACAATTTTGTCCTTTTTTAGACCCTCGTTTCATAAACTTTTATAAGATACACATATTTCCCAACATTACTGTTTCTATTGGGTCTTTTAATATACATTATGCTCTTATGCTTAACATTAAATGGATAGTTCACTTTGAAATAAATTGTTCATATGTTTTAGCTTACCTCAAGGGCATCCAAGATGTATGTGTCTTTGTTTCCACTATATTTTGTCTGTCAGTCATATAATGTAGGTTCATGGTCATCACCTCAAAGAGCATGCACAGAGAAGTCCAAATTAAACATGATTTAATGCCTCGTAAATATAAGTACACTTTGAAGACCTAAGACACGAAACGAGCAGTTTGTGTGAGAAAACGAACAATTTTTATATCGTTTTTACCTCTTGTAACCACAACCACATCCAAGTGATCTGAAAGTGCGGGCGCTTTAGGTCTGAGCAAGGGCTGGAAGTGATCTCTTGCGCGGTTGTGGAAAAGAAAAATCAACGTTGTCTGTTGATGTATCGAAAACGTCTTCCTTTGCAATTTCCTGTATATCTAAATATGTTTAAATCTTCACAGTAAAGGGCAACACACTTCTGAAATCTCTGTGTTAACAATGAATGACGTACACATGCGAGAGATCACTTCCGACAGAAGCGCCCTCGCCCTCAGAGTACTTGGACGTGGGTGAGATTACAAGAGGCAAAAACTATATAAATACTGTTCGTTTTCTCACACAAACCACTCGTTTCGAGGAATTAGGTCATCATTGTGTACTTACAATTACGTATAAGTCATTAAATCATGTTTAATTTGGACTTCTCTGTTTATGCTCTTTGAAGTGGTGACCATAAACCTACATTATATGACTGACAGACAAGAACGGTTTGACCTACAAATATCAAAATTGAAAATACTGTGGAAACAAAGACACCTACATCTTGGATGTCCTTGAGGTAAGCTAAAACATACCAAAAAATGTATTTCAAAGTTAACTATCCCCTAAAATAAATATTCCCTACTGCAAAATGTAATATATTCATAATTATGCAAAGGACAAAAATGCATCTGAAAGAATATTGCATCAAATGTCGTGCATTATACAGGAATCTAGTTCTGTTGAAAGTGACGTGGGTGCCAGTTTGAGGACTTTGCATCAGGAAGTTATCATTAGACCTGCTTATCCAGCACTTACCAACAAGAATCCTTTTCCTGGTTCGGACGCCCACACAATCAGCGGCGCAGGATGAGAATTTGGACCAGGTGGTGAGCTGGCAGTCATCCTGGCATGGAAGCTGGCAGGATTGAGTGAGTTGAGGCATAGGACCTGCAAACTTGAGACAGGCTGCAACGTCTGCAGGTCCACCATCCAACTTCTTACACGAGATGGCTGGGGGAGAAAAGAAGAAAAGAGATCATTTATTGACAGATAGAATGCCAGACAAAGAAACAAATAACTAAAAAAAGGACAAAAATGGGGTGGTGATGGCGCAGACATGGATAAGACACATGGCGCAGATGGATAAGACACATGCCTTTGGTGTGAGATACCCACGTTCGAATCCACTGTGAGACGCCAATGTGTCCCTGAGCAAGATACGTAAACCCCTAGTTACTCCAAAGGCGTGCGACCTCTGACATATATAGCAATTGTAAGTCGCTTTGGATAAAAGCGTCAGCTAAATGAATAAATGTAAATATAAATGAAAAAAAAAATGCAGTTCTCAGGGTTAACACTGATAAATATCAGACCAGTCTCAGCTATAAAGCCACAAATACTGAATAAAGATAAGCATCTTATGATGGATTACACGAGAGGGCAGTTAAAGGCCTATTGACTTGAGTAGCCGGACGGATCCAGATTTATATCATTGAATGAGGGTGAAAGCTGTTGTATTGGATTGCTTCTTCAGTCATGCTGGCGTATCGAGGCATACTGTTACGGGTAATGGTTGTTAATGTAAGCAGTGCTGAGAAGTTGATAACCAAAGAAGCTTTTACCGTTTAAGAACTTAAAAACTTTATTTTTCACTTAAAGACCAAAATATGCTAACATCATCCATTTTTATAAGCACTTTTCTTTTCATATTGTCACAAATCCTTTTATGTCAGTAGAACCTTCCATATGCGGTAAATGCATCTCTGTCAGAGAAATCACATGCTTGAATAGTAGCAAAATCCACTGTCTTGGGGTGTTTATAACATCCGATACGAGTCTCATCTTTCATTTTGAAATACGTTTTTCAGTCGCACCACAGTAATGGCCTGCATTTGAACCCTGAGAGGGTTTACTGGTGAGAGTCAGAGCGAAGAGTTGAGCTTCTGACTGCTTCAGAAAGCTTCCCGAACCTCTTAAAGAGCATTTCGTTTAAATCCAGAAGAGTTTGCACAAACCTTTGATGCTAAACACTCAGTCACAGATCAAATTAAAACCAATCTCATGCATTTAGCATGCATTTAACTATCTCCCCAGCTGCAAAGTCAAGCACTGCTACAAGCACCTACACGGTTATACTAAAATTGAAAGATGTTGCATCTCAGAAGCCAGTTTTAAGTTGATAATGAGGTTTTTTTTCTGTACCTCTAGCCTGTAGTCCTGGTCCACATGTCTCCTGTGCTCCAGGACTGTCCTGCCGGATGGTCCAGGGCACCAACTGACACCTGCGCCACTTATGGGTTTTCCACCTATAGCACAGATATATACATATATGGCAGTTTAGATTTTTGTGTAATAGACAACAGTATATATATATATATATATATATATATATATATATATATATATATATATATGTGTGTGTGTGTATAGATCCTATGTCCTATATATATATATATATATATATATATATATATATATATATATCCTCTATATTCAATACATTAATATTGTAAAATATTATTACAATTTAAATAAATGCTTACTATTTTAATATATTTTAAGATGAAATTCATTCCTGTGAAGCAAAGCTGAATTTTTGTAAGAAGTCTGTTGATTGATTTTCACCAAGGCTGCATGTATTTGATTTAAAAATACAGTAAAAACAGTAATCTTGTAAAAACATAATTTAAAATATTTATTTAAAATTTAAAATAACTGTTTTGTAATTTTCTGTGATGCAAAGCTGAATTTTCAAGATCATTACTCCTGTCTTCAGTGTCACATGACCCTTTAGAAATCATCATAATAGGCTGATTTGATACTCAAGAAACATTTCTTATTATTATCAATGTTGAAAACAGTTGTACTGCTTAATATTTTTGTGAGTATATTTTTTTCAAGATTATAAAATACTTTACCGTCACTTTATAGTCACTGTTCAATTGAATCAATGAATCCATAATAAATAAAAGTATTAATTTCTTTTTGTAAAAAATCTTACTGGCCCTAAACTTTAATTTTAAATAATTGTAGTACAGAAATGTCATAAAATCAGTTACAAATGTAAATATAATATATACTTTATATATATATATATATATATATATATTTACATTTCTATACTAAAACAACAAATTATATAAAATAAACACATAATAATATGATGGTAAAAAATAATATAGTAAGTTTAGGAGTTAATAATTGGATTTTTTTTTTTTTTTTTTCATTTCTGTATTTAAATTGCAAGCAGAGGGATTGTGTTCACCTGTAGCCCGGACAAACAGACGAGGCTTCGCATTCCTTCTCCTGGAAGAGTAGTTCTGGACAGTCTTGGCCCCCGTTAGCCGGAAGCTGAATGATAATGCGTTTCCTTGATTGCTTCTTTTTGATGTTACCACCTGGATATACACAAGAGGATGGACACAAAGTATGTGATAGTCACGAAAAAATATAGAAAATCTTGCAAAAACAACATCCCACTGTTAAATCTAATCGGTTCAGTAGTCTCTCTATGACTGTGTTTCATTTGACAAGGCTTTCAACCAACCTTAGCTTTAATATCTCTGAAAATGTAAATGTATATTGTAATGTATATAACTTGATTCAGCGATAGTTCTCCACAGGGTGAAGGCATCTATAAAAATGTGCAACGAATGGTAACAAAGAATCTGTTTCTTAATAAAATACAACTTCAGCTGTTAAATCTAATCGGCATCTAACTGTTAAATCTAATCGGTTCAGTAGTCTCTCTATGACTGTGTTTCATTTGACAAGGCTTTCAACCAACCTTAGCTTTAATACCTCTGAAAATGTAAATGTATATTGTATATAACTTGATTCAGCGATAGTTCTCCACAGGGTGAAGGCATCTATAAAAATGTGCAGCGAATGGTAACAAAGAAACTTTTTCTTAATAAAATACAACTTCAGCCTTTGATTATCATTTTTCTATTCTTCTTTAGTTCAAGAGATGCATCAGAAGTATATGTCAGGTTTATAAGTGTGTGTTAAAAAGCAAAAGCAGAGCAGCACCTGTCTGGCAGGTGGAAGGGCAGGGTGTCCAATCACTGTACGGAGTGACCATACAGTCTCTCTTGCAGGGCAGAAGACACGGTCTTACAGTGTCGGGACGCAGACTCTCTGGACACCTACATATAAACACATTCAATCAGGATGAACAGATGTTCTGGGCTGAGTTTCCCGAAACCTCCTTACTGCTACGTCGTTCTTAAGTTACACCTTAAGCTGTACCTTATCGTTGATACATGTTTCCCAAAACGTTCTTAGTTAAAGTCATACGTTCGGAAGGTTGGTGTGAAGTACTCTTAGCTATGCCTTATCACTGTTGGCAGTTCACTCCGCTAGTGGGCACCACTGCAAAAAGCTTCTTTACATCTTAGCCTATACGAATATTATTTTACATTTAATACACCCAGTGTTCAATTAGGCTAATTCGGCTAATGTTTTCATGCAAATAATAAAATTGTCATCACACTGAATGTTGTTAGCTTTTTAATTATATTATCCAATATCAGCTGGCAAACCATTCGAAAGTAAAGGCTTATGCGTCTATATAAGCGAATAGTACTGCTAAATCAAAGACGGTGCCGTCCCTTTTCATTGCAATGCGTTCCCAGGTATCTTTTTTCGTTTTGTTGGACACAGTTGTCCAAAACACACATCTTTGTGGAGTGCCATCTCGTCTAAAAGGATGTCCATTTCAGTTGGATTAAAGCTGGGGGCTCTCCTCTTTCTTTCTTTTTTCTCCGCCATAGCTATTGATAAAATGTTTTGCGTGTTGCGCTTTTATTGAGTAGGTCATCCAATCACAGATTTTTTATTGTTTTATTACACCAATAATGTGATGCAGCTGCTGGGCAATCAACCCTGGTTGTGGAGAAAATAAAGAAATTATAGCAACTATATTATGATAATATAAGTGGCCCTTTCTAATGCAATGAAAGCATAGGGACAGTTACTGTAGTGGGTTAGACGCATGACACGTTTGAGCACGAGGTTGTGCGTTCCCTTTCCGAAATTATAAAAAATATCAAGGTTTAATTTAGTTTGCAATTTGTAATTTTTTTTAGTTTATAAGGTAACACTGATTTCGATAGTCCACTTTAGACGTTCTACAAACTATGAAACTTTTCAACTACATGTCAACTAACTGTCATTAGAGTATTAGTAGAGTAGAATAGTAGACACTAATTTTTTTTGGTCCACCAACAGACATTTAACTGACTATAAGTAACTTGGCGACTCCTTAAACTTTTTCTCCTAACCCAAAGCCTAACACCTCACCACAGTCTACTGACAGTCTACTATAATATACAAACACTCTAATGAGAGTTAGTTGACATGTAGTTGAAAAGTTACCTATACTTAGCAGAATGTCTAAAGTGATCGCAATAAAGTGTTACCCCGCTTTCTCACATAACGCAGTGAAGCAGCCCCTGCATGAGAGAATAATTGATTTTCGAGCCATCGATATCAACAAATTCAGCACAATCGCCACGGACAGCACCGGGTAACGTCGAACGTAACAACATCTCAAGCTTATGTTTCCTATGGCATGTTTGAAATGGTATACCTTCAGTTAAGTTATACCTTAAGAGTATTTGTAGCGTGCTAAGAGACAATGTTATCAGGAAACTCAGCCCAGATGCTCCGTGTAAAAGTGTAAGTGCTCAGATTTAATACAAACTTTTTCGTGAAGCTTGAGTGCTGCTATCATTAAAGCAAAATGAAAACAAACCAAATATTAAGACATTATGAAATCAATGGTATTTTCTAATGTTCAACTTTTTACACAGTTCGTATTAGTATTACAAAATAAAAGTGCAGAGTGTCTTAGAATTGTAAATACATTTACCTTAGTTTTGAACATAAATAATATCAAAAGTCAGTAATTGTATTTTTTTGACAGAAATGAATACTTTTATTTTACTATGATGCATTAAATTGATCAAAAGTAACAGTAAAGGCATTTATAATGTAATGTAATTCAGAATCAAAACAATTCTATTTCAAATAAATGCTACTGATTTCTATTTATCAAAAACTGTATGGTGGTCTCCACAAAAATATTGAGCCGCTGTTTTTAAAACTGATAATAAGAACGGTCTTGTGAGCAGCAAATCAGCATATTACAATAATTTTTGAAAGATCATGTGACACTGAATACTGGAGTAATGATGCTGAAAATTCAGCTTTGCATCACATGAATAAATTACATCTTAAAACATATTAAAATAGCAAGCATTTATTTTAAATTGTAATAATAATTTCACAATATTACAGTTTTTACTTTATTTTACATTTTGCTGAGCATGAGAGCCTTAAAACGTTAAAAAATATTACTGACCACAAACTTTTGGTAGCATAATGTGATATGAACCTAATATTGCATTTTTGTTTTTGCTATATGTTTTGGTATATACACAACACCCTCCCCATCCCTTCTTTACACCAATATCCCTGCTCCTTTCACATGAAATCCCATAACGATCAGCATGCGGCTCACGTGTGTATATGAATGAATGTGTAGATCGGTGGGTAAAGCCCAGCACATGAATAACCCCGGGAAGAAAGCGGGACTCATTTCCATTACCAGCATGGGGTCCCTGAGCTACACACACTGTTTCCACAGCCACTGACAGAATAATGCAGTTATTAAACTGAATAAATAAACAGATCATTTATTTTCCTGGTAGACGCCTTCAGTGAAAGACCTGTAAAACTACAGACTGAGAGCTCATCAACTTAAAGTCTCCATCTGTCAATAAAGATCAAGCGGAGAACCTCAAGATTGAGTTTTATAAACGTTATATGCGTCTAACAATACATATGTATAAACATAATCTGCTTCAATATCTGCTCCGACAAATGACAATAATAAAGTGCTGTCTGTGACCCACATGAGGACACACATTGTTTAGACAGTAAATAAATGTAATTGGTAAAACATGTATGGAGATCTAATTATAGTTAAAACACTGTTTAATAATTAGGAGAAAACCATAAGCAATTAGTGAGCTCTTTGTTACATTTTGTAAAGATCAAAATACGAATGCAATTATATGATATGATTTATCGGCTAAAACTCCATTCTTTGATTCAATAACAGTATTATTTGTAAAATTGTAGTGGATTTGCTCCTCCACCATTGACACTCGGTGTGAGAAATACTGTCATTATACTGTAGATCCAGCAGAAAGTGAATTAGAGTTATATAAATTGTAAAATGGTTTCAATGTGATATTAGTAGAATATTGCATGGCTAGAAAAGGCTCTCAGCCAGTACGATTCGAGAATATAATATATACAACAGCATTTAATAAAACGACATTCATATATTTGTCATAGAATTTGTTTGCCATAAATGAGACACAGGATATTTATAAAAACACATACTTTTTAGGAGGCACCTGTCCCACATTGACCCGGACACAAATGACTTTGCGCGTCTGCATGCCGACCGAGCAGAACGCCTCATTAGTGCCGACTCCTGCTCCGGCGCGGCTGAGCGAGCTGTTGGCAGACGGGACGGAGGTGTCCTCTATGCACTGACCCCAGGGTCCCGTCTGCCAGTGGTACACAGTGCAGGGATGATCATTGCAGTTGCGCACCTCCAGCAAGGCACTGCTGTTGGGGCACTGACTCCCACCTAGAAGATAAAAAGGGTCAGGTGTTACAATACTGCCTAAATCATAAACCCAAACTGTAAAAAAAAAAAAAAAATACATCTGTGCATTGTATTTTTTACAGTTGTAACTATCCTTAAAGCAAAAAATCGATATAATGCACGCATAAGGTCCGCATTTGATGCAAGGCTGCTCTACAGTTTCCGGTTGGGGAGATTTAAAGCGGAGGATAACCGAGGAAAACTGGAGTATGGCAGGTGTCTGTTTTAATGACTACGTTTCATTAGTATAGCCATAGAGTATAAAAACCAGTATAAATTCTCGGTATATCATTGGATTCTACGATTGGCGGAAGTAATCCAGCATCCTTAGACCTTCGTCGGAAATACCGATGTGCATAGAGCCCATTAGAGTCTATAACAAATATTTAAAAATTGGATAGTTACTACGATGTACTACTCTTATGGAAAAATTATTTTCGTATATATTTCAGCTTCTCAGTATCTATCCATCCATCCATCTAAGCACATGGTCTAAAGTGCACAGCGCAAGTGCACTTTGGCTTTGTCCAAATCCACTTTTTCTTGTTTAACGACAGGAAAAATTGTCGGCGCAACCACCGCATGGTCTAAAAGGGTTGTCCTTTCCTCTTAAAGGAGTAGTTAACTTAAAAAAAAAAAATTGCTGATAATTTACTCACCCCCATGTCATCCAAGATGTCCACGTCATTCTTTCTTCAGTCGAAAAGAAATTAAGGTTTTTGATGAAAATATTCCAGGATTTTCTCCTTATAATGGACTTCAATGGGAACCAAAGGGTTAAAGGTCCAAATGAGTTTCAGTGCAGCTTCAAAGGGCTTGAAACGACACCAGACGATGAATAAGGGTCTTATCTAGCGAAATGATCGGTCATTTAAAAAATAAATAAAAAAATTTAAGTTTTATAAGCACAAATGCTCGCCTTGCTCTGTTCTGTGATCCACGTTCGTGACTCTCCTGTTCAAACTCGTTCATCAAAATGAACAAATATTTTTTCGAGTCATGACTCGAAGGGTCCTAGATAAGACCCTTATTCATCGTCTGGTGTCGTTTAAAGCCATTTGAAGCTGCACTGAAACTCTCATTTGGACCTTGAACCGTTTGGTTCCCACTTCCCAATGAAGTCCATTATATAGAAAATCCTGGAATGTTTTCATCAAAAACCTTAATTTCTTTTCGACTAAAGAAAGAAAGATGTGGACATCTTGGATGACATGGGGGTGAGTAAATTATCAGCAAAAGTTTTTTTTTTGTTTTTTTTGTTTTTTTAAAGTGAACTAGTCCTTTAATGAGTAATGTGTGTGCTTTTGGTGTAACGTGCAATAAACTAATGAGAGTCTCATCTCCTATTCCCTTTAAAAGCCGGTTGCGCTCGCGCCATGGCAGACTCGCCAATTACATGGCGGAATTTTCAAGCGGAAAAACTGAACGCTGCTCTAGCTAGGAAGGATCTGCTCGTGCGAGGTTAAGCCCATGGCCGTGGGAACATATTTTATCATGGGGGTGCTGGGGGTGGGGCTTAATGGGCGGGGCTTGATGTTGCGCGTTCATAAAGCGCTCCCCGTTCACAGTAACCGGGTCGTCTCATTCAAAACAGCCAGCTGTTGCTGTCAGCGAGCCGCCGCACTTTAAATCCTCATATATGAGTCAGGCTGCGAATGTAACTTACGTGCCCGCCCCAGCACGCTCACACTAATAAACGCCTTACCTCCGGCGCCGCGCACTTGCTATATTCCCTACACATCTAGTTGATGCATAACTCAAACCCAGTTCAAGGTCTCGAGGCGCATTTTTGTTGAACTTATTTTAACTTGAGTGCCGCGTTTTGAGAATGAGGTGTCGTCGCGAGACGCGAGCGCAACAGTTCCGTGCCTAGTGCATTTACACTGAAAAAAATTGGAACAGTAGCAGAGGGTAATGGAAAAACTCGTTCTTTGTGAACAGCCCTTAATGCCAAAGAATGCTTTAATCAAGACATCTATATTTAGTTTTTTTACATGTATAAAATGAGTTAAATGAGTGTCAAATAATTTTTGAGATGCTGGACCTCAACCAGTGTCAAGTCACTCACTCATGCGAGATCGACTTTTGCCTTATGATAGGCAGCCTATATTAATTTCTATAGCCTACAACTATATTCCACAACATATAAAAATGAAATAATCGTTAGAGTAGTTTTATAAAGGTAGAAGGTGTTCTTAAAAAAACATGCTGAAAAACAAAAAGTTATTTAAAGTCACGTCATCTTAAATTTCAATGAAGTGCAGCACCCTCAGCACCCCTAGTTCCCACGGCCATGGTTAAGCCCACGAGCAGACCATTTACAGGACAAAGTGTGCGTGCATTGTGGACCCGTCTATTTGCGTGCATTACTAACACACTCTTTAAATAAAAAAAATAAAAAAAAAAAACAATAATATTGAGCCATTGACTTTAGACCAGGTTTCAATGGCACAGTCTATTTCAGTTGCCTCAAAATATCAATGCGCCAACAAAGCGTCTGAACACACCTCGTTCTCAGACCAGCACCCCATGGGCGCACAAATGGGCGCAAATGCATTTGCTATTTAAACAACGTGGCGCAAGACGTGAAAATAATAACGGAGTCGGGCTGAAACTAGCAAAAAATACTTGTGTCGTGCCTGGCGCTGCATTGGGTACAGTATAATAGGGCCCAACGTGTGATGCTACCACAACCATTTCTGTCAGGATGAGAATGTATTTACCAGGCATTGCATGGTTTTCTTTACAAGCTGAAGTCACGCAAAGCACCAGCATCCCTATGGAGTGGTCAGCCATTACCTCAGTGGTGTGTATTAACAACCGCACAACGATCAATGGGAAAATGGTAAACCAGTGAATGAGAAAAATGGACAAACCATTTATCAAGCAGTGCTCCCTATTTAACAGCACCAAAAATAATGAATAATTGACCCATCCTTTGTAACAACACAGAACACAGTCTTTCAGCCGCTCGTTTATAAAAAGGTTATCGACTATTATCACACACTTCATTAGACATGTGAGAACCATTAGAAAACACTTGCCGTGAGCAAGTGTATAGAGAAAAGAAAACTCTTCCGAGTTAAAACAAATGAGGGTTATTTGACTTCCAAAGCATCTTCTAGTGGTTCAGGGCATGCCAGGGCAGTGCATTAGCAGAGCTTCAAAAAGCTGCACCAGAATCGCATTGTTTCAAATGTGGATTAACACTCCCTCGGGTTGTTTATTGACCTGTGACTCAGATGAAGACTAATCCTTTGTACAATTACAAAAGTGAGTCTGTGCACAGCTCAGAGTGATTGCATGTTCTTGGTCCATCTCTGCACCATTAAGAGCAGCAGTACACATTGCAGTTCCAGCAATCCACATTTCATTCCGTGTTAATCTTCATTTGATGTAGGACGCAGTGAAGCCTACATGAAATCCTAAAGAAGTGGTGCATTTGAAATAATCAAACCCTTCACTTAGAAAGAGCAAATATGTGTATATGTAACCATGCATTAAAATGCATAATCATAAATATTTTAACGTTCCATTAAAACTTTATCCTTTTGATATACACTAGGCTGTCAGTGGTGAGAGAACTTTTCCAGGACACTGAACAAGGGTCAGGGACTGGAAACTGAAACAGTGCTACTGCTCAGTCTGTGATCTGTAACCCGCTCTCCTAACAGACACATAGTGTCGCCACTGAACTTGGAAACTGAATGATGTAACTGCAAGTTATGTACAACCAAAATATGTACAACCTCAACTGGTTGCAACCATTATGGTTGCAAGTTATAACTGACAAATTGTTTACAAATAATTTAACACATTAAAAAACAATGTTCTAATTTTTACAGTCAGATGAAGAACAAAAAATGGATCTAACCATGCCATATCTTAAATATTTTCCATATTAGATGTATATACCATTCAAACGTTTGCAAATTTAAATATCAAATTCTGTAAATTTGTGAATTTTACATCAAACATATTACATTTACTTTAATTATATTAACTATAATTTTAAATTAAAATAATATGAATCAAATTAATAGTGAATAAGGATGGTTCACCCCAAAAAAAATGTATTCTGTCATTAATTACTAACCCGCAGGTCGTTCCAAACCGGTAAGATTTCGTTCATCTTCAGAAACACAAATTAAGATCTTTTTGGATAAAATCTGAAAGCTTTCTGTCCCTCCATTGACAGCTATGCAACTACTACATTGACGCTTCAAAAAGTTCATAAAGAGATTGTAAAACTAATCCATTTAAATTAGTTCAAATGTCGCTTTACACTCACCTAAAGGATTATTAGGAACACCATACTAATACTGTGTTTGACCCCCTTTCGCTTTCAGAACTGCCTTAATTCTACGTGGCATTGATTCAACAAGGTGCTGAAAGCATTCTTTAGAAATGTTGGCCAATATTGATAGGATAGCATCTTGCAGTTGATGGAGATTTGTGGGATGCACATCCAGGGCACGAAGTTCTCGTTTCACCACATCCCAAAGATGCTCTTTTGGGTTGAGATCTGGTGACTGTGGGGGCCATTTTAGTACAGTGAACTCGTTGTCAAGTTCAATAAACCAATTTGAAATGATTCAAGCTTTGTGACGTGGTGCATTATCCTGCTGGAAGTAGCCATTAGAGGATGGGTGGTGGCCATAAAGGGATGGACATGGTCAGAAACAATGCTCAGGTAGGCCGGGGCATTTAAACAATGCCCAATTGGCACTAAGGGGCATAAAGTGTGCCAAGAAAACATCCCCCACACCATTACACCACCACCAGCAGCCTGCACAGTGGTAACAAGGCATGATGGATTCATGTTCTCATTCTGTTTACGCCAAATTCGGACTCTACCATCTGAATGTCTCTACAGGAATAGAGACTCATCAGACCAGACAACATTTTTCCAGTCTTCAACTGTCCAATTTTGGTGAACTCTTGCAACTCGTAGCCTCTTTTTCCTATTTGTAGTGGAAATGAGTGGTACAAAGTGGGGTCTTCTGCTGTTGTAGCCCATCCGCCTCAAGGTTGTGCGTGTTGTGGCTTCACAAATGCTTTGCTGCATACTGTACCTCGGTTGTAGTGGTTATTTCAAATTGCTCTTCTATCAGCTTGAATCAGTCGGCCCATTCTCCTCTGACCTCTAGCATCAACAAGGCATTTTCTCCCAGGACTGCCACATACTTGATGTTTTTCCCTTTTCACACCACTCTTTGTAAACCCTAAATGGTTATGTGTGAAAATCCCAGTAACTGAGCAGAATTTGAAATAGTCAGACCGGCCTGTCTGGCACCAACAACCATGCCACGCTCAATATTGCTTAAATCCCATTTCTTTCCCATTCTGACATTCAATTTGGAGTTCATTAGATTGTCTTGACCAGGACCACACCCCTAAATGCATTGAAGCAAGTGCCATGTGATTGGTTGATTAGATAATTCCATTAATGGGAATTTGAACAGGTGTTCCTAATAATCCTATAGGTGAGTTTATATGATGAACAGATTTAATTGAGGCTTTTATTCACATATAAACATACATCAACTCACACACCAGTGTGGTAAACAGAAGCTCAAGCATGTTTAAGTAGGTGTTCCTCCTGTTCATTCTTCACACACAACATGGACAGCGAAATGACCATATTCTCGTCATCATCTCACAGAGGCAGATGGCAAGCAGAACAGGATCTACTAAACTTTATGCTACTGTCAGCACACATCTGCTTTCTCAGATGCTTGTCATCAATTCGATGCACCGTCTCCTGCATCGTTTAAAGGCTAATAGAGTACCACAGAAAGTAGCACAATTCGCCACAGGGCAGAACGCGACATTGCGCATATGTGGTCATATATTTGTGCTAAAACTATAATATACAAAGCAGTGCCACTCCACAGATTTGCAAACCAAGCCGATTTGCTCTAAGTTAGCAGTGCTGTTCCCTCAAGCTACATATTTGTGGAAATGGATTTCTGGCTGGTGAGTGGTAGAGGGAAGGAGGAGATTTTATCCCAAAGCAACCACTTATCCATCAGTCTATTACACATCAGATACACACTTACAGCCTGAGCTCACCTGAGGTTTGAATCACTTAACACTCAGAGACCCTTATTACCTTGTTATGGGCGGAGATTTTAGCCCGCTCACATGGAATAATGTTAAACTAACATAAGAGGTAAGATACCGGTATGCGGTAAGATATTCATAATCTGCTCATGTCTACTTTGAACATCTGCATGAATACAAATCCACAACCGTAGAAAATAATGGTAACAGAAATCTTTGGAGACACCTTAGCAAAACAATCTAGTTTTGCACCTCTTCTGGATGATCCAATACTTCATTCAAATATTAATCATAGAAAGGGCCATAATGTTAAACTCTTTTTCAGCCGGATGCTCTGAGGAAAAGAATGCTAATGTTGCACATAGAGCATCAATGCTTTATGGTAAAATAGGAAATTTTGAAGATGGAGGTCGCCCCTGTGACTTACTGTCAAAATTGATGAATATAAATGTCACATAATGTTTTCAGTCAAATACTCTGGTTCTAAAATAAAATATTATTTACAAGCATCATATGTGAATCCACACTTATGCATTTGAAAACTTCTCAATGTTGCACCAAAAGAAGTTTGGTTTGACATAAAGAATGTAAAAAAAATGCATCTTTTTTTTTTTTTTTTTTTTTTTTTTTTTTTTTTAGAAATTAAGGATACATTAAATTTACCAAAAGTAAATACTTACCTTATAATAATTGCAAATATATATATATTCATCAAATAATCAATACAAATATCACAGTTTCCACAAAAATATTACTCAGCACAACTGTTTTTCACCGATAACAGTAATAAATGTATTTGATCAGCAAACCAGCCTATTATAATGATTTCTGATGGATTATGTGACACTGAAGACTGGAGTAATGATGTTGAAAATTCAGCTATGCCAACACAGGAATAAATCAGATTTTAAATGTAGTTTTAAATGTAGTAATTTAAGCATACTTTAGAATATTGCTGTATTTTTTTAACAAAAAATGCAGCCTTGTTGAGCACAATAAACTTTTCTTAAAATATATTACTGACCATATATTTTAACCATAACATCTTATTCCCAATGTTCAAACTGATTAATATAATAATAACTTTATTCATTTGAACTGTTGCATCAAAAGAAGCCTATGATATAGATATAGATATAGACATATAGCGTATTAAATGTTAATGGCAATGCTTTTACACTCATAAGTCTCATAGACAATAACTGCAATGTGCATACTATGCAGTAACATACTAAGGTACATCATTATTCGGCTCAGTGGAAATATAGTTCTAAGAGACAGTCACAAATCTCCTGTCACCAGCTCTTACACAAGAATCTATTTTCGTGGAAACGGGGTATAAGTGGTTTGATAATGGTAAAAACCCTACCGTCCCCTGAGTCGTAGGCCAGGATGGAGCGTGCCCTGGTCTGCTTGCCCTCGGTGTTCTTCCCTGAGCAGGTGTTGGAACACAGAGACCAGGAAGTCCAAGGACTGAGCACACAGTCTTTTGGACAGGACACCTCACACAGGACAGGCATGGGAAGGATGGCATCCCGGCACAGCTGCCGATCCACGTATTCACCTGGAAACAGCAAAACACGGGGCATGTTATAATCACATATCCTAAAAAAAGGATCCCAATGGACTATAGCAAACATTATGTGTAAGCTGGTATGTAACCAAATGATTATGACAGGTCAACCTGTAACAAATTAGAAACCATAATGATAGAGCAAAGTGTGACAAATGTTGGGTGTACAGGTGTAACAGTTTCATAAAGGGAAACTTCACACATCTGATGCTGTGTTAAATTGTGTTAACTTTAATACACATGTCACTGTGCATATATAACCACATAAAGAATTACATTCACTCTAAACAATGCTGGGATGTTTTAACCCAAAATTGGGAAAAATATGGACAAACCCCAAATGTTGGGTTAAAAATGTAATTTAAAATTCTAACCCAACTTCAACTTTCACTTTCAACTGTACATGTTTTAATGACATTTTTAACCCAATATTATTTTGTCCATATTTGACCCAACTTTGACCCAATAACACACAATAACCCAACAAACCATATTTGACCCAATAGCCAATTTTTTAGAGTGTATGTGTACCTGATGATTGAGGTTTGTTTAATTAATTAAAGAAACAAAACAAAAAAAACCACCAAAACAATAAAGAAACGAAGTGAAACAAAGTAAAACAAAACAAAATCAAAATCAAACCAAATCAGAAAAAAAAACAAATACAAACACAAAGCTAACAAAAAAGCACATAAAAAAGCACAACCAAACAAAAAACAAACAAAAAACAAATCAATTGATAATTTGTAATAACAATAATAAAAGAAAACAATCAAATGAAAACAATCAAAACAAAACAACAAAGTAAACCAAACTAAAAAAAAAAAAAAAAACTAAGCGAAAACATAATTTGATCATAGAGGTCGTCTGAAAGACCAACCCCTCTGTGGATCGTACACCAGCCCCTAAATCGATCAGTGAACCCCCACCCCTGAAAAAGAGCCCAAAGTGACAGAAAACCCACTGAGTCAGATGACACTGCATGACCCCATGGGACACAACAGATCTATTCTCATCAGCACCAGACAACAGGAATCAATAATTGAGAGAAGAGGGGAGGCACTAGGGAACAATGAGGAGTGAGCGTTGAGACTGGGGGTGGGAAAGAGTTGCACTTCCTCACACTGCTGGCATTGATACACAACCAAGAGGAAGCATTTCACACCAGGAAAGAAATCATTACAGTCCATTAACGACATTCATTCGCTTTTTAGAGGTTTAATTTAAAAAACAAGACAAAGTAGATCTTAATACAATAAAAGTAAAAAAAAAAAGAAAAGAATAAAGAAATACTGTATAACCACATATTTATAGGCCATTAAATAAATTAATTTGAAAGCGGAGTTTTGAAACAAACAAACCAGTCTAAGGTGATCATTAGCTGGTCACAAAAAATAAATAAATATATGTATAAATAAATAAATAAATAAACTTGCACATAAGGCACTCCTCACAAATCTTTCAGACTTGAGAAAAACAAATCAACTGTCCTCATGAATAACTCAATGAGTACATGCTGAGGGAAACCTAATATCAGCTGTACATCTCAGATGTGTTAAACCTCACCTGCGTCTGACTGTCCCCTGATGGAAAAGAACCAGACAGCATCTGACAATTCGTCTATTGAGCGCTGTCACATTGTGATGAGGCTGCACACTTCTCGACTCAAAGTTAATGAGGGAGAGAGGGAGTTCAGCTAAATGCAGAATGACTCAGAGGGACTAACAGAGTTAATTTCATTTATACAGGCGCCGGTGCCAGAACAACATATTCACCATCTAGCCGTCTGCGAGGCAGGACAAAGAAAGAGGTGACCTTGAACAAATCATATTACTCCTCACTAGAGCAAGGTATCTGGACTTAAATGGGTCAACGTGTGTTGCAGCAAGCCTGTGGCTAGGGAGGAACCGAGTAATGGCCATTGTTTCTTTCAGTTTTTGGATTCTGCACTATCTATAGTGCATTCAAATACTATTAATTCAGTAGGGTGCAAGGATTTGCAAGGATATAGCTGGATGAAAATGGATACTTTCTGATTTTACAGATCATGTGATCTAACAGTTTTCATATTTGTCTAAAATGTATTACATTAAAACTCTTACATTGTATATTTTGGTCATTTATTGTTATAAATGTACAGTAATTGCAGAGAATAGGCGATATTAAAGACATTGTCCGCCCAATTTTTCAGCTGCATTGGTTCCTGAAGAATTTTTTCCATTTTTTTTTTTGTTTGTTTTTTATATATATTGCATGTTTTGCTTGTTTCAACTCTCTGATTGGTGGAATTTTGAATTGTGATGCTGGACAGCATCATGGGTAATGTTGTTTTTCACCACAAATTCCACTGTTAAACACAACTTTTATAAAACTAAGTTGAAATAATGTGGGCTGCGCTTTTAACAGCAGCAAATAACGTTGATTATCCCCTTACGGTCATATTTAGGGTTTATAAGTTATCTTTAAAAAAAAAAAAAAAAAAAAAAAAAAAAAAAAAAACTTCCGGAACCAGACTGTTGCATTTAAAACTTGAAAAAAAATAAAATAATTATATATATATATATATATATATATATATATATATATATATGAAGAGTTCAGATACAAAAGCCTCTAAATGCCATTAGAAATTTTCTTCTTTAATGATGATTTTTATCAAACTTAATATACAAGTTTGATAAAAATCATCATTAAAGAAGAAAATTTCAAATGGCATTTAGAGGCTTTTGCATCTGAACTCTTCATATATATATATATTTTTTTTTTTCTAAATATTTTATATATTCAAATAATTCAAATAATTTTTTCAGCCTTATGTCATTCCAAAAATATATGACTTTCCTTATTTTGTGAAACAGAAGATATTAATTTTTTTTTTAAAACCATATAATGAAAGTCAATGGGGTCCGGTGTTGTTTTGTACAGTAAAAACATCTATAAAAAAATTCCATTTACAGAAGAAAGAAAGTCACACGCGTTTGGAATGGCACATTTAGTATGTTAATTAAGGCATTTAGGTCCCCAGACAAAACCTAACCCACAAACGGCAGCCCAAATCATTAAATTACCATATCAATGAAAAAAACAGCAGTGCTTTGCGTCATATTTAAACATTGCCAGACCACTTTGAACCACATATACAGTATATTTAAGAGGGTAAAAGTGCATTTTAGGGTTAATACAGGGTGATCAGATTCTTCAGTTAATAAATGAATCATCGAAGAAAGAACATTTTCAGTGGGTTTGGTTGCGCTGTGTCATCTGTAGCACGAGTTACCTGTGGTGTTCCTCAAGGGTCTATTCTGGCTCCCATTTTATTTTCACTATACATGCTACCACAAGGCTCAATGTTTAGGAAGTGTTTGGATTATCTTTTCATTGTTATGCAGATGACAACCAAATCTATCTCCCTTTGAAACTCTGCTTGCCTGTTTAACTGATGTACGATCATGAATGTCCTTGAATTTCATGTACTTAAATTAGAGTAAGACTGAAGCAATTGTTTTTGGCCCCTCTGTGGGAAAACCAAAACTGAATACTGATTACGATTATTTAAACTCTTATATCAAACCCACTGTGACAAATCTGGGAGTTTTTTTGATTAATCTCTCAAGTTTGACCAACAAATAAATTCAGCAGTAAAGTCTTGTTTTTTCCATCTAACTTCTGTCCAAAGTTTAAACTTTTCTATCTTTTAACGATCTCAAAACTGTCACACATGCTTTTGTTTTATCTCGTTTGGACTATTGTAATTCACTCTATATTGGATTACCTCAATCCTCCATGTCAAGGCTTCAGATGGTCCAAAATGTCACAGCCAGGTTTTTAACAGGCGGGGTTCGTAGATGAGGACACACTCTGATATTATTGTCTCTAAATTGGTTGCCAGTGTGTTATAGAGTTGAATTTAAAATTTTGTTGCTAGTTTTAAGGCTTTGGCTCATCTGGTACCATCCTTTCTGTAAATGTGAAATGACATGTCCAAGATCAAGATTGAAGGTGATTGTGCGTTTTCAGTGGCCGGTCCTAGGATATGGAACAGTCTTCCTTTATTTGTGAGGTCTGCAACGTCTGCACATAAATTTAAATTTAAGTTACAGTCTTATCATTTTACTCTTGCATTTCATTCATAACTTTGGTTAACCCTAAACTGGTGTTTTATTGTCTGTTATTACTGTATTGTGTGTGATTTGTTTTACACTTCTTCATTTGTACAGCACAGTGGTCAACTTTCTTATTTGTGCTTTATAAAAAATGAAATGAACGGTTTAACTAATATACAGGCAGCTACAGCAATAGAACCAGATCGCTATACTGAATAAAGTACAGTAGTTTCACATGGAAGGGTAAGGAAGGTCTCAGGAACTGTCTAGGAGATGATGTTCGTATAAGGGCCCAGGGGGAGGGGGATGGCAGTCGTCGCCGTGGTGACAGCTGATGCACAGACAGTATGACACCTTCAGTTGGTGTGAATGGGATGCTTGATTATGAGCCTTGCAAAACTGATTGAGTTACACACACACATACACACACACCGCCTCTCTCTCTCTTTCTCTCTCCCCCGAGTCCTCATTAGCGACGTGAATGCTGAGGTTCTGGAATGTCGCAGTAATTGCCATGTCCATACACTGAAATTTACTGGAACAAGGAGCGAAATGCGAGGAAGTAAAATACAATTACAGTGCGCGCTCATAATTGATTCATTAACGCAATCCGAGTCGTGTCGCACCTCCAGACAAGACATTAACAATAAGAAGCCACAGAGTTGCCGGTTATATTTTAAAAAGTGAATATTCTACTTGTCCCTCATATCCACAGTAATATAAGTTTAATTATTTTTGATAAGCTCATTGAATGAACCATTTTTACTTTCACATTTTGGAAATAGGCTTTCCACTTCGTTCCTTAAAATATTCACTCAGCTACGCTCTAGTCATATTATATGAAATGAATTAGATCGGATGAATCAGGTTTGCGGCACTGAATTTTGCTCCCTCATCAACCCGAGAGAAGTGTTCATCCATAAAATCCCATTAAAAAGAAATTGTTAGTACAACATGGCTGGGTCATTTCACTGCTCAAATATATATGAAGTTCTAGGCTCTATAAATAACATAGATCAAAACCAAGACAGATGAGAGGTTTTCCAGCTCTACATAATTAGATATATAAGTGGCTTTGGATAAAAGCTTCTCAAACAATGTAATAACTCAAGCCAACCTTAAAAAATATTAGGTTATTTGTGCTTTATGTTCTTCATGTTTGCTTGTGTATGCTACAGGCTTGCACAATTCAGAATTGAATTGATAATATCTCCTGAATTCCAATTCAATTCTTGAATTGTAATTGAATTTCAATTGATGTCGAAAACAGAATCTAGAATTACAATTTGAAATGTAATTCTATAACAATACTGAATTACAATACTGAAATGTAATAATAATTTGTATTAAATCATTTTTTTTCTATTTCAATGAACTTAAAATGTTGAGGCAACCAGGTTACATCATTTTTTTTTAAAGTTAAACCAACAATATTTTTTTTACAGTGTAGTTACGTGTAATGAAATGATGTTATTCAATTACAAAATGAGTGTAGGCCTAATTGTATTTTAGATGTATTACTGAGGTCAAATGTGTAATTCAATTAGTTACTAATCAAATAAAAGGGAGATTGCTTTACATTGAAGTAAACCAAATAAAGTAATCCAAACCACATGTATAAGGGTAACGTATATAACTAGCAATTACCTATCCAAAGTAACCTTCCTGACACTGAATGTATTAGAAATTCAACACATTCTTTTTGTTGTGTGACTGTGTGGAATTTCTTTGAACTGCCATGAATCCACTTCATGTCATTCAAATTCAACTTCCTGTGGGGCGGAGTCAATTCAATTCAAATTCCAATTCATGAATTGAATGGAGGCCAATTCTGAAATTCTGAATTGTGCACAAGCCTGGTATGTTACCATTCCAAGGTCTGGGGTCGGTACGATTTTTACTTGTTTTAAAAACAAATCTTCATAAATCATTCTAATATGCTAATTTGCTGATCCAGAAACATTTCTTATCATTATCAATGTTTTGTGGAAACTGTGTTACATTGTGTTCAGGGTTCTTGAATAGAAAGTTTTAAAACAGCAGCATTTATTTGTATTATAAATCTTTCATAACACGATCAATGTTTTTTACTGTCTAGTTTTGATCAATTTAAATGTAAAATAGTGTTTGTGAAAGTAAAAAGTCTGCAAAATGTTAAAGATTAAAGTGCACACCAAATACAGTCATGTTATTCTAAAATAATGAACTGGTTCTGAACTGCTAAGACGCTGGGGTTAAAAGAGACTAAATTTGTTATTGAAGTGTTTCAGACACTTTGAGAAAAGATGTGATACTGCATTGTACTGTATATTATCACAAAATGAAAGTGTTTTTTGACTTTGGATGCATGTATGAACCTTTAAAATAGTATTATTGGGGCAGCCAAAAAACAGATGTTAAAGCGAAAACGTTTTACAACCATCCCCGGTGTCCTCTCTTTCAGTATATTGAGGCATCAGTGTCAGCTATTGGTCACAGATCCAGGCATGTGCTTGTCCCCAGGTAAACGGTATTTTTCTCTGATCTCACAGATGGTGTTGGTGTTGGTTTCCCTAGCTTCTTTTTACGCAGTCAAGCCAGTAACATCCAAAAGCTATTGGATAGTTTCATGCCTTCCCCCCACCCTCCGGCACATGTGGCTTTGTGTTTAGAAGACTAAAAGGCAGCAGTGCCACTTCTGATTGCTCTGAATTTCCCCTCTGGCCACTCTAACAATAGAGAAGTCCACCCAGCCGCCTGTGCAAAAATAGCAATTACGGCATTGGGCATGAGTCCAGAACATAAGCCCTATGGAAAGAGTTCAAGACTGGACCCAGCTGTACGAGAACAAAACAATCTGGGATTGTTACTGCATTCAACACAGTGCACGTCTGGACATGACCCTTAAATAGAAAATCTATTCAGGCAAAGATTTTTAATTAGCTTGAATAATTATGAAGGATGGAATCAGTACCATGAAGGTGTGCGTATCACTTACCGTCACTGTTGACACACTGTACTTGTGGGTTCTGGGTTCCCGGTCCGCATTCTTTGTCATTGTCAGGCACACACTCCTCCAGCTTCACCAGCAGCCAATCGTAGCAACTGGGTTCCTCACAGGGAATCGCCTCAGTCAGGTGGGGGCAATTCCCTGTTCCACCTGTGGGCTCATTTATGATTCTCCTTTTCCTCAGTTTGAAGCCTGTTGAACAACACAGATGAGACTCAAAGTCATTCTTGAATAAGTTGAATTGACATGATTTAGTGAAGAGTGTCCGTAATTAAGATGTTTATCAATTCAAATGACTCATAATATACAGTTTGTTGAATTTCTTGCCAATTCAAAAAAGCTTTCGCTTTCACATGATTCCAAATATATTTGCCATTACAGGTAATTATAAAAGACAATATTATACAGAACAATTTATACATGACCATTCAAAAATATGGTGTCAGATAAAAAAAATAAAAATAAAAAAAATGAGCGAGGTCACATTAAATTGTATGAAAGTGGCTGTGAAGGCATTATTACAAAAGTATTCTATTTCGATTTATGGTGTTTTGAACTTTCGATTCATCAAAGAATCCTGACGAATTATGGTTTACAAAAATAGAAGCAGAACACTGTTTTCAACATTGATAATAAGTTTCTTGAACATCAAATCAGCATATTAGAATGATTTCAAGAGGATCATGAGACACCGACGACTGAAGTAATAAGCTTTGCATCACAGGAATAAATGACAAAAAAAAAAAAATAATAATAATAATGTTTTATAATATCACTGTTTTTACTGCATGTTTAAATCAAATAAATGCAGCTCTTGTGAAATTTTTCAAATTTTTAAAAATTGTTGTATGGTACACTCTAAAAAATTGGCGGGTTGTTTTAACCCAAATTTGGGTCAAATATGGACATGTAGTTTAAACATTTAACCCAATGGAGTTTGTCCATATTTGACCCAAAGATGGGTTAAAACAACCCAGCATTTTTTAGAGTGTAGTATAATACATATTTTTTGATAACAATCTTTATGGAAAATTAAATTAAATAATACACACTGGGTTGCAATTTGTGGTTGCAAATTTCCTCTTGATGTTCACTGCTAATCGACACCAACCCAACTAATCAACTAGTTGATGCAACCCCTTGTGTTATCCCTCTTAACGGTCACAGTGTGTTATTGCACAATCACCCTAATATTACATATTATTACCCAATATTTTATATCGGCCCATTAAGTGCGCAAGATGACATAAATTACTAGAGCAGCTTATCATAATGAATATTATTATTCTTCCCGTCAATATGATTGCTTTTCACCGAGGGGACTAATGCATTCAGCAATCCATTAATACAGAAGAAGCTTCGACGCCAGGGCTATTCCCAATTCAAGGGCAGGGAAACGGCTCCAGAGAAATAAAAAAAGGGGTGGGGGGGTACTGGACTCATGACCAGCACAAGGTCACCTACATGTCCCATGCCATCACCCTCCCCTCTCTGTTGGCCTATGATTTAATCCACATTGCTGTCTGGGGCCGATAAGGTAATATGGGAGAGGGGGGCCGTTAGGAGAAAGCTGGAGATGCCAGTGTCGTCCCTTTCTCTGATTACTTCTGTCCCGCTCTCTCCTTCTGGCTTTATTTAATCAGAAGGTCAGTGTAGAGCTCATTGATGATGTGTAAGAGGATTGTATCACATTCTGTCAGTCAGCCCAGAGGTGTCTGATGGCGTATGCTGCCTCTGTCTCTTTATCAGACAAAAGCAGGATACTGAGTTTCATATGAGCCCCTGGCAATCAAAACAAGACAAAAGGCACAGCCAAAAAATAATAATAATAAATAGCATGGGTCATCATCACGTCTAATATGTACACTGACATATTATTTGGGGCTTTAGGTTGAGATGTCACAGGTAATTCAAACTCTATCGCCCATCAGGCTTATTTAGCAACTTGTTCAGGCTAAAACAAAGATCACAGCTACAGTATATTAAAAAAGAACAGTCCCAGTTATAATAGCATCAATCAACATTCGATCAGCACTTTGTAAAAGGGAAGACAGCATTGGATTTGGTTGTTGTGCGACATCATATCAAAGAATTTGGTTCAAATTTAATTCCAAAATGTGATTTGACAATAGACCATTTTGCAAGTTGTAAACAACACTGGTCCAGAAACACTTCATGTTTCAGTTTGTAACTGTTCTCTTTATTTCACATGTAAAGAAAACATCTTAAAGATGTTTGTTTAACTTTTTGATTCAGTTTTATATGTTCTGTTGGTTGTATTTTATCCCAGCTTTTATGTAGTGTTAAAAAACTGAAACAGGAAGTGCTTCTGCACCAGTGTTGTTTACATCTTGCAAAATGGTCTATATCAGTATACTTTATTTTGTAGAGAAGCAAACAGAAAACAGTGATATTAAACTTTAATTAAACCCTGTTTCTGTATTAAACAAGTGATATTAAAACTAAATATGTATAGATGAAATGTAATCTCTATTGTAAAAATAAAAGATTGTGGTAACACTTTGCTTGAAGGGGTGTGCATAAGACTAACATGACACCTTCATAATCATGATATGACACGTGTTATTAATTGTCATTCGCTCAGTTATGACATTTTTAATGCAGATATGAAATTGTTTGAGATGTTTTTGTTATGACACCTTGACATAAACCAATACATCATAACCTGTCAGTGTCTTTGTCATGACAACTATGCCATTATCATGACATTATCAAACTGAAGAAACCACTTAGCTATATTGGTTAACAACATTACATTAAACTATCAGGTGGTTGGTTTTGACATTGGCTGTCATGAAGCCATTATAACTTTTTAAAGACGTATTCAATTGGTACCACTCAAGTCAAGTCAAACTTTATTTATAGAGCACAAGTTTAACACAACCGTAGTTGATCCAAAGTGCTTTCCAGTACAATAAAATAGTTCAAATAAAATAAGATAAATAAAGCAAAAAGAGATAAAAGCAAGTAGCAAAACCTTTGGTGTATCGACATATACAACCTGTAGAACACCGACTAAATTTAAAAATAAATACATGACCTTATTCAAAAGCAAGAGCGTAAAAATAGGTTTTTAAACTTGATTTAAAAGCAGCCAAGGATGGAGAGATCCTGATGGTTAAAGGTAAACTGTTCCAGAGCTTTGGTGCAACAACAGAGAAAGCTCTATCACCTCTTGATTTACACCGAGAGAAAGGGACAGATAAAACAAGATCTTAGTGACCTAGAAGCTGTATATGGTCTAATAAGATCACAAATATAATCTGGGGCCGAGTTATGTAGAGCCTTATATGCAAAAAGGAGGATCTTAAAGTCTACTCTAAATTTTATTGGTAGCCAATGCAATGAGGCAAGAACAGGCGAGATATGATCCCTTTTCTTAGTTCCTGTTAACAATCTGGCTGCTGAGTTTTGAACCATCTGTAACCTAGACAGTGTAGTCTGAGGTAGGCCAACGTACAGATAATTACAATAGTCCAATCGAGACAATATTAGTGCATGAATCACAATTTCAAGGTCTTTACTAGAGAGAAAGTTTTTCACTTTTGCTATTGAACGGAGTTGAAAGTAGCTACTCTTTACAACTGCATTTACATGTTTATCGAACCACTGTTAGTTGAGGTCACGAAAAATATTCATGACGCAGTTATAATGGCCTCATGACAAGCCAACCATATGACAGTTTGACTTTAATTTTATGTCAAGTTGTCATGACAAAAACACTGACAGGTTATGATGTTATGGTTTATGTCAAGAAGTCATAACAAAGAGATCTTAAACAATGTCATATTTGCATTCAAAATGTCATTATTGAGCGAAAGACACTTTATGAAAGTTGTCATAAACATGCATAAACCCTATTTCATATTAAACATATATGTTTACCACAACCACAAACACACATACACATATATTCTGTGCCCTAATCAAATAAAAGTGTGTGCAAAAAGCCTGCCATTACACTACATTGGATGAAGTATGAACTATGGGCATTTGAAAAGAGTGAGTGGAACACAGATTCAGAGAATTCATCATTAAGATGCATGGTGGAGAATTTCCTCCCATCCTATCCTTTTGAGCCGCTTCATTAGGGAAGAGTCAATATGCATTAGTCATGGCACGGGTCGCTGTCCCAGCCATAATTAACGAGAAAAGCAGTCAGCATGCCAGCACCTTTGCTACACCAGTAACTGTCAGCAGCATTCGGTAAACCGCCATCCTACGAATCTAGCAAATGTGGTTCTTTCTAAAGACCATTGAAGCTTGTGTTAGTCTCTTTGAAGAGATCTAACCCTTGATTTGTTTCTCTCTTTTTCATGACACGCTTTCTTTTTTTCGTGGGTTCCTTTTGTTTGCCGTTCCCTCTACAATGCTCCTGGTTCATAAAGCTCAGAGACAATGAATCTTCTGCCCCAGTAGGGCGGTGATAAGTTTATGGCCCGGATGCTGATGGCGCAGATAGAGGTGAGAGGTGAGTTATATGTTGAAAGGGTTCCCATACACAATTCATGTGATTTACAATGAAAGAGGACGTTTTATTGAGCTGTTCTGTTTTAGTGAGATGGGTGAAATGACTGCTACCCATACAAAACTGTAAAAAGATGAAGTGGTCCAATAGTTCAAACTAAGATTGTGCTCACCTTTCTTTGTGGACTGATCCTGGCAGTTTTCAAAGGTGCAGGGCCCCCATGCGCTCCAGGAGGACACCTCACACTCCACAGGACAGGGAATTTGGCAGAGCTGGGTGGTGTCAGGAGAAACGCCCAAACACAGGTCACTGTTCACTGGCCGCGAGGCTGAAGAGACACATAGACACACATTATAGAGAGTCCGTACAAAAATACAGTAGATGTACCTCATGTGGGAGAATAATATACACACAAGTATATTATTTCAACGGCTTGACATCAACACCCCATTTAAGCAGTGGCGGAAAACACAGTCACTCCTATTTTCAGTTGTAATCATTTAAAAAGACATCTGAGATAAAAAAAAAATGTAAAAAAAATACATACACACACACACACACATATATATATATATATATATATATTCTGAAATATCTGAAACACTTCCAACTCCCCTTTTTTTTTTTTTTTTTTTTTGCTACTTATTGCGCTTAGTCAAATACACACAGAATAATGTCAAAATGCCGGTATTGGCGAGAATTCACGTAAACACAGTCAGTAACACAAAGTACTAAGTGGTTAGTAACTTTGGAAATCCACTAGACACCTGACAAGACATCAGCGACTATTCCTCCATACAGAATCTGACCCAATTCTCTTCAGTTTCTCTTCAGTTCAGCCCACTCATTTTTTTTATAGGGTTCAGTCAGGGAACTGGGATGGTAATGGAGGATTTTTCTTGAAACCCTCCCAAACAACATGTGGTAATGTACAGTAGGGGTTGTTTGATTTTTTTATAGGCTTTTCTGACCCCAAGACTCTCAACAAATCTCTGCAATTCTCCATCTGTGATCTGTGATCCAGAGATGTATAAAGTACTAGAAACCCGGACTTGAGTAAAAGTACAAGTTCTCTATCCAAAAAGTGACTTGAGTAGAAGTTGAAGTGCTCTTTAAGCACCACACTTAAGTAGAAGTACTAAAGTAATCAACATTTTTGTACTTAACTATTGCAAGTAGTTTATTTTAAAATTCACTAGTTAAGTACAAGTCTTGTGTCATGTAATTATTAAAGAAAGCAGTCAAAAGTTTGAACTAGCAAACAAATAAGGCGCTTTGGCGGGATACAAATTTGCTTTGGCGGCCGCCAAAAAAATGTCATTGCAGGATAACCCCTGCGTTAGTTGTCAGTGTATGTCAATTAATACCATTACCCTATAAAACTGGCGTGTTATTAAGGCAGTATGAAAGCCAACTTGCAACGAATGATTCGTACAATTTTTACAATTGTAACGAGTAACTAGCAGAACATGAAAAAAATATTGAAGTAAAAGTATTAAATTCGTCGAAGTACGAGAAAAAAACAATACTCTAGTAGAGTACAGATACAGCTTTTTAGTACTTTAGTACAGTACTTAAGTAGTTCTACTTCGTTACTATACATCTCTGGTCTTTAGCCACTCAAACGTTCATCCTCACTGTCCATTAAGACAGTATAGACACATGTCTTCTTTCCAGGCAGATTTGTGACATCTTTAGTTGATTGGAACTTTGTAATTATTGCCCTGATGGTCAAAATGGAGATTTTCAATCCTTTAGCTATATTTTCTTACAGACACTTTAAATTTTGTGATGCTCAACAATCTTTTAATGCACATCAGAACTATATTCTTTGGTTTTCCTCATTTCGAAGGATGATTAAGGGAATTTGGCCTTTGTGTTTAAACTCCTGCGAAACAAGAAGTCACATTTAAAGTCACAGCTGGACAATTTCATATTCATAGTCACCATGCATGGTGTGCTAAAAAAAGTAAACATTAAAAATATATAAACATTGGAAATATACTTCAGAGATATTTTACTCAAAAAAAAATAAATAAAAAAAAATCTAGAGGTACCACTAATTGTGGCCACCGTGTTTTGGAGAAAAATTCTGAGCACGACTGTACTGTAAGTGCATCTAATTGTACATGTTTTGCTAGACATCTCCCAAGACCCCTTTTGTCCTTGTTTTCTTTTTATCTGTAACAAGCACTCAGTGTAAGTGTGTGTGTGCAGCTCACAGCCATAGGTGACTTTCTGCAAGGTCAGTGCATGAACACATCTGCCGTCGTCGATACCCTTTGACTGATATTCTCTTCATTCACATGCAAATTGCTTCATGTCCAAAAGGTGTTCGCAGTGTGCTTTGAGCCATTTCTAAAATCATTTGGTTAATACATGCGTGTATGTAGGTTTTCAGAGTAAGCTAAGTGATTGATTGCATGGCCAGTTGTGGAGTCATTAATGATTTATACAAGCTTGTTTTAAACAGAAATTAAAAAGGTTTCGCGAAATGTTCCACTGGGACGAACATCCTTTGAAAGGCTCAATTTAGCAAGTGGAATTTACTTCCAAAAGTGACATGTCAAAAAAAAAAAAAAAAAAAAAAAAAGAATCAGCTGTCAAATTGACTAAATTTATTGGCAAAAAATGTCTAATTGACTTGCAAATGCAAGTTCCCTTATTCCCACAAACACACTTGTCTCTATGGTCTCTGTATTTGTTATTAGGATGTGATTGTGCTGTTGTGGTATTGAGGTGGGTGAAAACCCGTCTGACTTCCAGTCCCTGTTAACCTAGTCTGATTAATGACCCTCTCCTTGTAGTTTGACCTTGTTCAGGTGGCACAATGCTCACTTGGAGGGCAGATGGTCTGCTGTTTGCCCACCCAGGGTTTCTACGGCCTAATTATGGCACCGGTATCCCATCAGTCCCTCTGTCCGTCTGAAAGCCGCCAACACATTCACCTGTTTGCATCACCATCATCATCATCAATAACTCAAGCCTGCCTGCAGGGCAGTGCTGCATGGATCCTCTGTGAGAAAGCCAAGCCGTTGAATATCTCACAAAGATCCACGACGGGGTGCGACATTGATTATATTCCGTAGAGCGTCACGGCCGAAGCGAATGAACACTGTTGTTGTGTTCTGCTCTCTGTGACTGAGATGTGTTAATGGATAAAGATTGCGACAGCAGCTGCTTTCCACTGTTTTCTAAATGTCTGAAGCCACCCGCGGGGAGAGGAAATCAAGCGCAGCTTCCCCAGGCCCGAGCAGCCGAGCAGGAAGCCGGATGGGAGAGAGGAAGACAACAAGCGGCTTTTGATATGTAAAATGCATACTTTGAGCTCATTCTGGCATTCATTACATGGGTTTAGGTTTATCCATAATCCCAAAATGATTGAAAATGAATTCGGAACGCAAACAATGCTTTATTCATGGGGACAATATATTTCACCAATTCTTCACAACTGACTACTGGCAAAACAAAACATGAAAATGGAAAATGACAGGTTAAGAGGGAATGGTATTCAGAGACGTATAGGTGCATCTCCTCTTTTTAATGTCATAGAATGTTTTTATGCATAGCCTATTTATGTGTCTGTCTTAAGCTTAAAGGGGTGATGAACTGAGAAATCAAATTTTCCTTAAGCTTTTGACATCTAATAGGTCATCATATTATAAGAATATCCTGTTTCAGAACTGAAAACGTCCTTGTTAGTTCAATAAAAGCGTTTACTGACTCCAGGCTCAGCACACGATTTGTTTTTCAAAGTGGGGAACTATGACGTCAAAGAGGATAAAACACCACCCCTGCAGGAGAAGATCAACGTCTACTTCAACACGGCCGGTTTAGCCCCGCCCACCGATTCGAGCAGCACACCCATAGCTAAATAACATAGGCCGACCTTGTGATGACAAACCGGATCGAACTATCCAGCAATAAACATGCCGTTTACAAAATATTGCGCAGTGCCTGGATGTGGAAGAAGACAGTCGTTGAATCCTCTGGATTCCAATAGGACGCACTGCATGGTTAAACTTTAAAACATTGTCCGTTTGTTCGCATTTCACTGAGGATTGTTTTGTAAACAAGACACAGGTCGAGACTGGATTTGCAGACCGATTAAGATTAAAAACCGATGCTGTGCCGTCTATATTGGATTCGACAGGAATGGTGCAACACACGGACTCTGGGTCAAACATGTATGGGCGAATCATTCCGGTCAACATTTTACAACATTGGAAGTTCTCAAAAGTGAAGTGAGCTGAAACTCATTATAATATGCAAAACTGTTAAAAGTTGACCTCAGACAACAATATAAAGAAATGTATAAACAGAAATTATGGTAACACTTTATTTTACGACCCACAAACAACTGGGTAAGTACACAGAAATTACGGTGTACATTTCTGTAATTATATTGTACTTCCGTGTAAGTATAAGGGAACAATATGTTAAGTTTGGGGTAATAAAGGGGTAACAAGCAGATATACAACCTGCAAATAACTTCGTAAGTACACTGAAATTACGATGTACGTTTCTGTGAATATAGTGTACTTCTGTGTAGGTATAAGGGAACAATATGTAAGTTTGGGGTAAAAAGGGGGTAACAAGCAGATATACAAGCAAATTATTTAATTAGTTAAAAAAATAACAGGTACCTATTCTTTTAATATTTTCCAGGCAAAAAATGTACGTCTGTTGTTAATAAAATGCATCACATTTCTGGCTAAATATGTTCTTGTGCAATGTTACAGGGTAATTTTGACATCTGTGGGTTGAAAATTAAACACTTATATATATATAATAATATATTTATAAATAAAAATTTATTGAAAAATAAAATAATTTATTGGCTTTTCTTACAAGATTATTTAATGTTAAATCAAAATAATTATTTTCTGTTATGATTTTAATTTAAACTGTACCTTGTGGTAATGAGTACTTACCTTATTCCATTGAATTGCAATGACACTTAAATGTCAGGGCAAATATACTGTGTAATTAAAACTCTTTTTGTTGTTGTTGTTTTATTTTCTTGATAACAATACTGTAATTACAGTGCAAATAGTGTTGTTTTGTATTGCTACATAGTAAGTAGCGTTTGTTACCCCCTTGTTCTGTGTATTTACAGAGTAAGTGTAACCATTGCGGGCTGTAAATTAAAGTGGTGCTTGTTACCCCCTTGTTCTGTGTAGTTACAGGGTAAGTGTAACTCCTGCGGACTGTAAATTAAAGTGGTGCTTGTTACCCCCTTTTTACCCCAAACTTACATATTGTTCCCTTATACCTACACAGAAGTACACTATATTCACAGAAACGTACATCGTAATTTCAGTGTACTTACGAAGTTATTTGCAGGTTGTATATCTGCTTGTTACCCCTTTATTACCCCAAACTTAACATATTGTTCCCTTTTACTTACACGGAAGTACAATATAATTACAGAAACGTACACCGTAATTATTGTGTACTTACCCAGTTGTTTGCGGGTCGTAAAATAAAGTGTTACCGAAATTATATATATATATATATATATATATATATATATATATATATATCGATTAAGGGGGAGTAAGTTATATTGTGAGGTAAAAAAAAAGTCTAATAAATAAACATGATGATTAATTTCAAAGTGTACATGTTGCTGCTTTAAAAACAAATGGAAGGTAAAGTTGAGCGACATGGCTCAAGTATCAAAGGTTCCTATGTACTGGCATCACACATGGCACTGGAATAGCCAGAATGCAGACAATGGTTGTCTGATTTCTACACAGGATTTTGCTATGATCCCTGGAACTGAATGACCAGATTAAATCTGCTTAAAGCACAGAGTGTCTGTCCTTGAGTAAACCATCAGTCCTGATGCTCTCATTGTCTGGAATTAATGTATATAAATACCTGTGAACAATTCCAGTGGCCCAGTGGCAAATCACTAGGAAATGTCCAATCATGTGGAGCTTGAAATTAAATCCTTTCAAATCTGTCTGCATCTCCCAGAGGGAAAAGTGCCTGATTGATTCTTCATTGATTAAAAGGAAACCAGGTAAGTGATTAAATAAAGTAGGCCAGACAATCAATTAATATATAAAGTAAATTAATGATGTGATACGCAGATTAATAATCAAATTAATTGCAATTAATTGCATATAACAATATTTGCGATGCATAGAGTGATGTGTAAAACAAAGAAACGAGCATGAGGCAGAGCTGGCCACACAATACCATTATGTGTGTGTAATGGTATTGTGTATGTGTGAGAGGAAGTGCAGATGTTCTTGCACTGTTCCTCTTCTTTCTCTCACACAGTTCTTCCATCTGTCACCGTGTTCCTCGTCAGCGCACCAGGCCTGTCACCTCCCCCAGGAAGCTGCAGTCAGTGCCATGTGCCTCTCTAAAGGCCACTTTACGGATGGGATTCCATCATTGTCTGGAAAAACCTTCTCGCAGGCAGGAGGGCTGGAAATCATAGCTCCTGATTCACCAAGATCCACAACAAAAGATCTAATGCAATCTAATGAATTGCTTGAGCAATTTCTGAAAAAAAAAAAAAAAATGAGCAAATAGCCTCAAGTGTGAAAATGAGTTAACAGCCCCAAGTGTGAATAGGTTAATCAGATCTATATTTAAAAATCTAATTTTGCATGTCGTAACAATGCGGTTCACTTTCTGTTCTTACTAAATATTTTCAATGTGGTGATTTATACGTATACACTACTGTTCTAAAGTTTAGGGTCAGTAAGATTTTTTTTTTAAACACAATAATTCTGTTGTTTAGCAAGGATTAATTAAAGTTAAAAATTTCAAGACAAATATAAAATATAATTTGATGCTGTTTTGGGAAAAAAAAAAGAAACCTAACAAAAGAGACCTTATTGAAAAGTGTTACCTCAAAAACTGACTACGCAGACTATAAGATGCCTATTTTGCTCATTCGTAATACACAATCTTTTAGTATGTGGTGGTGATGGCGCAGTGGATAAGACGCATGCCTTTGGTGTGAGAGCTGGGTTCGAATCCACTGTGAGACGCCAATGTGTCCCTGAGGAAGACACTTAACCCCTTAGTTGCTCCAGAGCTGTGCGACCTCTGACATATATAGCAATTGTAAGTCGCTTTGGATAAAAGCATCAGCTAAATGAAAAAATGTAAATGTAAAATGTAGTAGATGCAGCTTGGACCTTTTTTTTCAAGTTTTCACATGTAAACTTTACTTAAGTCACGGATTAACTGTTAAATACACTACTGTGAGTTGTAGCTCATATTTAAATGACTCATTTCAAAAGGCAAGCTGCTTTCTGTGTGCTTTGTCTTCTTGTCTGTAGTGTGACCAAGCCATACCAGCCAATGCCTGCTTGAGGACAGCTGTGGACATTTGAATAAGTTCCCTGAGAGGTCGGCGGTTCATCTCTCAGAGCAGATGGCAGGGGAGTTTCTGTGTCAGTCCGAGAGTGAGCGCGGGCCCGGCACCAGCATTGGCGCACGGCATGAGGTGCTGGCATCTCTCTGTTTCTGTCATATTACTCTAGAGAGAATCTGTGTTTGGGTGTATCTGCACCTGTGTGTATGTCTGTGACGGTATTAGCATTTAAATTCCACAGTAGCTGCCTCATTAGTTTGTATGGCTCTGCCTTCTTTATTCCTTAATTTCCCCCAGTGATCTAATTTCAGCATTTAAAAAGCAATCCAATTATATGTTGGCTTGAGTTGTACCACAGTGCAAACATCAACTGATCTTTGTCTAACAGCTCGCTTACAGGCGCAAGTCTTTATGGGCTGTGGTGACTATGGAGCCAAAACAGGAAGGGGATTTACCAAACATAACTTCATTCATGTTTATCATCTTAAATCAATACATGTTGTGTAACACCAATTACATTACCAACTTCAGACTGAAGCTATGAAGTCTACGAGGTGGAGATGCGTCTACCATCATACCTTTGATTTTAAAATGTATTCTTCAAATAGATACCTCAAGGGCCCCATTTTAATGATCCAAGCGCATGATCCAATGATCTAAGGCAGTGGTTCCCAACCTTTTTTTTATCTGAGACCCCCTTTTTCACAAGAAAATATTTTAACGCCCCCATTCACATTTAATGATATTATCGCTTGTGTAAGCTTGCAGAAAGGATGACAAAATATGTTGTTTTCAACGGCATGTTTACTATAACCAGATGTTTATGCACAAATAATTGTCTATAATAATGAATATACAATAACAAAAACATCAGTAGGCCCTTTGTAGTTTAGGAGAAGTCTATAAATTGGCTCTATTTGAATTGCAAATTTTTTTTATTTTTTTTTTTTTTATGTTTTGGCGCTTCAGAGAGTGATAATAAACTTGTGTTTATTAACAGAATAATGCGTCTTTTGGAGAACATTGTAGCCGGAACTACTTCTCTCTGTGTACGTCTATGACGAGTCACGCAGGTACTGGGCTACTCTGAACCAGTGCAAAAACACGGATTGATGGATTCATGATGAACTCGCTTATTATATACATTTTGAACAGAAAAAAAAGTTAAGGACTTTTATTTAATGCTCATTGTTCAAAACTTTTCAAAATATGATGCGACCACCCCACAGAGCTCACTGAGGCCCCTTTGTGGGTTGCGACACCCCGGTTGGGAACCGATGGTCTAAATGTGCGTTCACACCACACATAAATAGCACGTCAAATTCGCATCTACCGCGTCTAGTTATACGCTTGAACACTTTGAATCCATTCAGAATCGAAACCCGTTGGCGGGCATCTTTTTTATGTTGATCGAGAGAGTCACCGCTCTGTATTTGCTTTGGAGAGCAGAACAGAGGCGTGGGGATCATCGTCGCCATATTTCTGTCGACAGGACCCGTTGGAAGGTTAACCGTTTAGCGTGTTTCACCATTTTCGTGTCAAACGCGTGAATGCACAAATAGCACTAACTAAATAATGCGCGCTTAACACGCCAGATGCTCAATTCGCACAAATCACACGAACTTGACGAGCGAATGAGGCGTATTTGCGTCTACCGCGGCGCACTCTACGCCTAATTCACGGCGCAGGATTTTTTACAAGCATTACGCGTCTTTGCATTGACATAACATTAGAATCACTCGCGCCTGACGCGCTATTCGCGTCTGGTGTGAACACACCATAAGGTGTGCATAAGATGCAATAAACCAATTAGAGTCTCATCTCCCATTCCTTTTAAAAGCCAGTTGCACTCACACCATGGTGGATTCGCAATTTACATGGCTGAATTTGCAAGCAAAAAATTTAACGCTTCTGTAGCTAGGAAACGGACTTGCTGACCATCTACGGGACAAAGTGCATGCGCAATGTGGACCCGCTTGTAGGCGGATATTACTAACGCGCTCTTTAAAAAAAAAAATTGCAGTCTATTTCAGTTGCCTCAAAATAGCAATGCGCCAACAATGCGCCTGAACACACCTCGTTTTCAGACCAGCAGCCCATGGGCACACAAGTGGGCATTTGCTATTTGAACAACGTGGCACAGGACATGAAAATGATTGCGTCGCACCTGGCGCCGCATTGCGCTAGGTGTATGATAGGGCCCTAAGCCTCAGTGAAACAGGGTGAATTTGCTAGTTTTGTTACCGTCTTTGTTCTTGAGGGAGCTGAGGTTGGACGAGGTTTCGCTGGGGGCTTGAACGCAGTAGACCTCTCTGGTTTGAACCCCGCCTCCACAGAGCCCTGTCTGGTTGCTCCGTCGACGGTCCTGTTGGCTGAGCAGCACGTCCACCCTGCAGTCGCTCCACTCTGTGGCTCTCCAATTATACCTGTGGACAAAGAGAAAGTGTTAAATGGCCTATTAATTTATCCTCTGACAGATAGAGAATTGGAAACAGAGTGAAGTTTGTGGTTATTCCTTTCACATAAAAATAAACTGTTCTTTGGTCTGTCCTTTGGAGTTATAAATACAGATAATTTTAAATAGACCAATCAGAAGCCATGTCAGTCAGAATATGCACTAAGGTCATGGCTTTATTGAGCTTCATTGAGTTTGATGGCTTGGCCGGTGCTTTTTGATTTATGTTAGCAAAAAAACAGTGAAAAAGCATCAAAAGCTGAGCTGTGGATAGAAATGTTGAAACATTAGAGAACAACCATTAAAATAAGCATTACACACCCAGTACTAACTAGATCACTTGAATGCTTCATTTGATTTTATTTTATTTTTTTTCTGTCCTGATGAGAAATCCATTTTGGAATATTATTATTCATGAGTGCATTTGGATAAAAAATAAACGTCTATATTGAACATGCTGTGTTTTGAATGCTGGTCCATGGCATGGGTTGCTTCTTAAATTCAAAGTTAAACAGAAGTTGTATTGGATTCTTCCCTATTGTATTGGATATCCAAGTGAATATCCTATATATATATATATATATATATAGTAAGTAAGCTAAAGCACACACACACACACACATAAATATATGTACTAATTAAACGATATGAAGCATAAATAAGGGTCTAGTTTAGTGTTGGCTAAAAAGGAAATATCTTCCTCTTCATGTTTGATGTTTGATCACCATTTCTTTTCCAAATGTGTCTCGCTGATCAAAGCCCGAGGGCACGCTTTGGGGGAAGTGCTGGTTGTTGTGTGTGTGTGTTTGTGTCTGTGCATGCGTGTACGCATTTGTGTGCCGTTGTGTTTAAATGTCAAGTGACCTCCAGTATAACAAGCCCTGCTTTCAGCTTTCAGAAGAGTTCAAATAAGGAGAGAAAAAAAGAAAGAAAAAATCTTGACCATGAACTTGCACTAGACTAAGAAGTAATGGTCCCTTTCTTTGCTTATGCAGTGTAAATGAAAGATTATGAAACATTCATTTCAGTTTTTGAATACAAGTCTGATTTTAATACCAACAGAGAATTACTATTGACTTTCCATGGTAATGGCTCTCAACCCTTTTTTTTCCCAGATTCAAAATGAAGTCCGTTTGACCTCACAAATGCAAAGCTCCATATTCATGAGCTGTGAGTCAATGTGTATTTGAGTGTGCTTCTGACAAGACTGCATTCAATATTTTGTTTTGAGGGCCTCACTTTCCATTTATGCACCGTACTTGAGCTGCATATAACATGCGAAACTAGAAAGGTTTCTTTTTTAGGATTCTCTTTTTTGGATCCTAGAATGAGTAATGAACTGCAAACCAAATGGCAAAGATAGATATATACAAAGATAAATCCATACTTTCATGTGGTGTATGCCATATTCTGACCCTCCCATATGTTTGTTGCAGCAGAAATCAAGACTAATAATATCAGGCAACGTTTTTCCAATCTTCAGTAAGCCACCGGTGTGATCTTCTTCTGCTGTTGCCCATGTGCACGTGTTGTGCGTTCAGAGATGCTCTTCGGCAGACCTTCTTTGAGTTACTGATGCCTTTCTACTTGCTATCAGCCAACACAGTCACTTAAATCACATTTCTTCTCCATGCTGATGCTCAGTTTGAAATTCAGCAAATTGTCTTGATATGTCTACATGTCGAAATTCACTGAGTTGCTGCCATGAGATTTGCGGATTAGATATTTGCGTTAACGAGCAGTTGAGTAGGTGAACCAAATAAAGTGGACAGTGAGTGTAAATGCTCTATTTTGTATATATATTTTTTTATTATTATTATTTAGAAGAAATGTTGTCAGTAGTTTAAAGAGTAAATTTACTTGGAGCTACAAGACAATTTTGCTATAGCACTGATTCATACGGAATCATAAAACATGATAGTAAGTAAATGATACAGAATGAAATATCCCTTTAAGAGATTTACGAGATGCTTAACAGTGGGTGAATATTAAATTTTAATAGTTACAAGGCATTCTTGGCCACCTAGATCTCACTCTGGGGCGATGTCTGGTCATAAAGCCCTGCTGTAAAGGATTCTCAGTGACAGCAGTGAAAGCACAAGTGGGGTTTGGTGAGAGGCAAGGCGGGCACACACTGGGTCAGCGCTACAGGAGCATCATTCACCTCTATCAAATACAGCTCCACTCTGGTGACATCCAGTGCAGCGAGGTGATGAGTGATGGGGAATGGACCGGCCCATCTGTAGGGAAGATCAGATTAGACAGCGTGTGGTCTGTCCTCTCAGACATTCACTATTCATCAGCTCACCTCCTCCAGGGTGGCACTGTGCCAAACCACCAACCTGCTACCATCTCTCCATCTTGCCCAGCAGGACCCACCCTCACTCCCCCCTTCACAACTCCATCTGTGTTTTAACAAATTCATGCTATCCGAAAGCCATCATGTCCATACAGGGAGACTCCTTTAACGGTGGGGCAGGCAATTTTTGGTGAGTCAAGCAATAGAGAGCTAGCTTTTAAAGCATCCTCCCTTTAGAGCACCTCTAAAGCAAAACCACGCCTCCTCCAAAACCAGTGGTGGAATGTAACGAAGTACAAATACTTTGTTACTTTACTTAAGTACATTTTTCACGTATCTTTACTTTACTTAAGTAGAATAAATAGTGCATACTTTTTACTTTTACTTCGTTACATTTTGCAGCAATTATTATACTTTCTACTCCACTACATTTCTACAACTTCTGTTACATTTTCATGACATTTTCTGATCAGTTTTTCCCCTGCCAAAACGTAATCTGACCGTCCGTTCGTTGCACGTTTGTCTCACCAGTGATGTTTGGTTGCCATAGATACATCAACTAAATGCGTCTCGAAGTCGCGCGCAGTGTGTTTATCGTGCAATTTATACGCAAAAATTTGTTTTTTTTATTTTTTCCATCATTATTGAACATCATTATAGGAGTATTTGGTTGAATGAGTTAGAATTAAATGTTTTATTAATCATTAAAAAATAGTCATTAAGAGAATCAATTGTTATGCAAGTACTTTTACTTTTAATACTTAAAGTACATTTAAAATCAGGTACTTTTTACTTTTTACTTAAGTATGGTTGTCATTGTGTTACTTCTACTTTTACTAAAGTAAATATTTATCTGGTTATTTGCACTTTTACTTAAGTACTGAGATTCAGTACTTCCTCCACCACTGTCCAAAACACATGAGCTCAAAACAGCACACCACAAAGCATCACGAGAGATAGGCTGCCATCTCTTACAAATTACGGTAGCTATGGCGTGAACGTTAGAGCTAATATAGATTTCATGATCCAAGCACTGATGCAGAATGGATGAAGCACTTACACTACACATGGTGGGATTTCTTCTCCTTGAGGTGAACACTGCTCACTCTCCTCCAGCTCCGGGCACTCAGCTCCTCCACCCACGGGGAACTGCCGCACCTGACGTGTACGTGTGCGCTGTCCCTTACGCCCGTTCAGATCGTAGCACTCCTTTGAGCAGACAGACCAGTCCGACCACTCGGTCACTTCACAGTCCTTAGGGATGACACAGGCTTGATATGTCACAGGAAGACTCTGCTGGTTACACTGGCTGTGGGACCAAAGAAAAAAAGTCTGTTATTGATCCAAGAATCGAATCTTTAATAAAACTAAGCTGCACATTCATGACACCTAAAAGATGAATGTATTTAACATCAAGTTAAATCTAAACACCAGAGGAAAGAGATACTATTATTCATAGAGATGAACCAATACTAAATTTCTCCACTGATACCGATAACCGATTATTCAGAATGGCATTTGCCGATAATGGCGGTAAAATGCTATAACTATACAGGTAACCCTGTAGTTTGGCACATTGATATAATAATAGAGGTTACAATTAACAACAGAGCCAAAACTATTATATTCAACTGCATTTATTTTCAGATATAATAATTACACTCAAATAGAAACTGAAAAAAAAGCAGTTGCACATAAGGTAGTTTTCATAAACACTTGTCTTCATGACAAATGTATTGAAGCATGCACACATAATTAACAGTAAAGAAGTATTTTCACTGTAAAAAAAGTATTTTCATGATTTGTAAGCACAACTTTTTTTTTTTTGTCAAATCAACTTAAATTATTTATGTAGTTCAGATAACATAATAGTTTGAGTTTCTGATGATTAAATCAATCTCCTTCATTTTATTTTTCCACTTCAATGAACTTAAAATTAAGGCAACCAGGTTACTTGAGTTTTCCTGAGGTAAATGTGACATTTTATTGACGTCTTTCTGCGGGTGAAATTTTACATTTCGGTAAGTTGTACTACTTCTTTAAGCATTCCTTGTAATGTCCATGCATGTTTTTTCATGATATAACTTGTATTAAAGTGGAAGAAAAGAAACTGCCGCTTGAACTGAGGCACTACAGTGATGTCACGTCAAGCTTAAGAGCGTAAAAATGCAATTTATTGCTTGGATTTTAGTGAAAAATGGACATACTTTGAAAGCTGAGACTTTGTTTCTTATCAGAAGTAACAAAGCACACAGCTCTTGGATAGAATGCGCACAACAAAGAGCCTGCTTTAACGCCGCTATTTTTTAAAATGTTAATGTGGTGCCGCGTTAACATAAGACCATTTTTGGATAAGGAGGATGCCAATTATGTTGTTATCTAGTCTTAAGCCTGGCCAAGTTGCATTCAATTAATCCCATCCAGTTATTGTAAAACACTATAGATACATGCAAAATGCCATAAAGATAAAAAATCTTAATACTGCTTACACTTTGACACAGCATCTGGGAGTTTTCCTCATCCCTGTCCTTTCATTTATATTTCACTGCAGTCACTTTAGATTGTGATTCAATTTAGATATGTAAAACTATCACTTCAATGGATTTTAATTAAGAGGCATCAAAAGCATGCGACGGCTTGGCTTTGGGGTTTGTTATGATTGAGACTGTGGCCCTCACTAGAGCTCCAACATGACAAGTAACCACGATCTCATTTGTCTTAATCAGTCAGATGAAGAAATCAGAGGCTTGGATGGTTCACAGATCACAGCGTTGGTGTCAAAGCCTGTTGAATTAATAACAGGCAGAGGCCATTAATGTACATGTAAACTAAACTAAACCTAAACCTAATCAAGTCACTAATAATTTTGGTTGACTGAAATTTGCCAGGTCTGATTTTGCTTTTCTTGTTCCTGACCTCGCCATTCCATACATATGATCTGAGGTAGGACGCTGCATTAATGCGGTCATCAGAATCAGCTAAGCCTCTTTGGGGATTTCAGCCATCTGTGAAGTCAATGAGTAGCTCTAATGTACTGATCCGCCTGGGACAGTGTGCATCTCTCTCCCATCTTCTCGCGCTAATCCCATATACCAACAAATACAGGCAGATATGACATGTCCCTATTCTGACTCTAGAAGGGGACCCTAAGGTGATGAAGGACATGTTGCTTTGCTCAAATTCACTCAGAAAGCCCCAAAATTTCACTTGACAATACCTCTTCAACTAAAGCAGATTAAAAGTTTCACCATGTGAGACAGATGAAAACATGCATCAAATGGAACTTCAATAAAACGTTCTCAATGACAGGTTGAGTAAACATAATGGAAACCACTTGCCACAAAAAGGCCATATTATAGGTTGGATAAAATTACTTGTACTGCTTAAAATTGATTGGAAAATGACGAGGGACATTTCTGAAGGAAAATGGCCATTAAATCTTTGGTTTATGATGATGCAATTACATTCCGGGCAGGCAGTTAGTACGAGGGTGATGGAATGATGGGAAGGCAATGGGCTTGGGCCATCATATTGACATGAGAGGGATGCTCCGTAAATGAGATTTCTCTCTCTAGTTAGCCTATTACTGACTGAATCTCAGAAACTTCCTCGAGGGAAACTTCACTCCAAGAACTGTTTAAAATTCAATTTATCACACTCCACAAACCCCAACAGAGAGGGAAGTAATAACCTAATGGTTCGAGAGTCAGACTGGTAAACTGAAGGTTGCAAGTTCGATTCTCAATGCTTGCTGCCCGGCCGGCACCACAGCAAAAATTAAAGGGGTGATGAACTGAGAAATCAGATTTTCCTAGAGCTTTTGACATCTAAGAAGTCATCATATTATTAGAATATCCTGTTTCAGAACTAAAAACGTCCTTGTAAGTCCAATAAAAGCTTTTATTGACAACATCCTCAGCAAACTACTTGTTTTTCAAAGTGGGGAACTATGACGTCAAAGAGGATAAAACACCAACCCCCGCAGAAGAAGTCCAACGCCTACTTCAACACGGCCGGTTTAGCCCTACCGATTTGCACATTACACGCATAGCTAAATAGCATAGGCCGACCTTGTGATGACAAATCGGATCGAGCTACCAAGCAATAAAACATATTGTGCAGTGCCTGGTTGTGGAAGAAGACAGTCGCTGCATAAGCTTCCTCTGGATTCCAATAGGAATGCATGGATAAACGTTATTTTTAATGACGTTCCAGCTGATGATGTAAAACATTGTCCGTCTTTTCACTTCATTTCATTGAAGATTGTTTTGTAAACATGACTGGATTTGCCGACCGATTAAGAGTAAAGAACGGTGGTGTGCCGTCTATAATGGATCTGACTGGTGCAACACACAGACTCTGGGTCGAACATGTATGGGCGAAACATTCCGGTTGCCATTTTACAACATTGGACGTTTTCAAAACGATTTCCCCCACGTGCTTTGACAGGTGAGTTGAAACTCATTATAATATGAAAAACTGTTATCCACTTACAGCAGTGATCGTTTACTTCCATGTCTAGGGTAGAAAATAGCCTATTACTTATTAATTTTGATGTTTTTGAATGCAAAAACCAAGCGAACGTCATAAGTTGACCTCAGACAACAATATAATAAAATTTAAAAAGCCAGTTCATGACCCCTTTAATGCCCAATGCTCCAGGTGTGTGGGTTAACTACTCCTAATGTGTATGCACTAACTTGGATGCATTAAATGCAGAGGACAAATTTTGAGTATGAGTTACCATACCAAATACCAATCACATGTCAATTTTACTTAGATTAAATGAGTGTTACAATTCAGATTGCTGGCATGCATTTGCTGGAGTCTATGACTAAACAACATAAAAGCTAGGAATACATTTAAGAAACATGCCACAGTTTAATGTTAATAGGCCAAGAAATCTAGTTACTACGTGTTTTTCTATGAAGCACCTTGTTAACTTTGATAAAGCTGGAATGTGGAGAATATCAACAGATATCAATAAACAACTTGAGAGCATGTGTTAAAAATTAAGTATACATGTGTGGTGGTCTCTTGTTTTTTTAATGAAGTCTGTTTGTACTTTTGCTTTGTGTGTAAAAAGCATATCGTATGTCATGGAGTATGGGTTGGTGAATGTGGGCTTGACATATCCCTGTGGTCTAAAACAAGACATTAGTTTCGCCTCTGTGCTCTCTTCTACTTTCTCACACATGCACAGGGACAGAAGACGGACCAGCTTTCACACGATGAGAAACACTGGAGGGGGAAAGAGGCTGTGTTGACATAATATCACCAAGTTGATAAGGTCAGTGAATCTGTACTTATACTCTCGCTTATAAAAAAAGGTAAAAACAGTCTTTTCACAGTTCTTTTCCCTGTGTTGATATATTTCTGTTAGTTCTATGTAAAATATTGATTTTCTGATTAATGACTGTTTTTACTGTATTATTGATCAAACAAATGTAGCCTATGTGAATATGAGACTTCTTTTTACCTAAACAAACATTACTGAGCCCAAACTTCCAAACAGCAGTGCATACATTTTTACAGGATTAGCCGAGAGAATTTCTTTTATACATAAGCAAAGTTGACAATGTAACTAAACTATACCCAAATTAACTGAAACTATGTAAATGCAATGCATCACTAAATGCATCTAAATGCATCAAAAGCTTGTGTGATTTAAAATAATATATATATATATATATATATATATATATATATATATATATATAATATGAGGAGTTCAGATGCAAAAGCCTCTAAATGCCATTTGAAATTTTCTTCTTTAATGATGATTTTTATCAAACTTGTATATTAAAGTTCAGTAATTTCACTTAAATAACAATTAATAGGTAATTATCATTGCCATTTAAGTGAAATCACTGAACTTAAATATACAAGCTTGATAAAAAAGATCATTCTAGAAGAAAATTTCAAATGGCACTTAGAGGCTTTTGCATCTGAACTCTTCACATATATATATATATATATATATATACTATATATATATATATATATACTATATATATATATATATATATATATACTATATATATATATATATAATATATATATATATAGGTACCCAAGCCTTGGATCCTGTTAATATCCAACTGCTGTTTCATTTTAAAACAATTGATCAAATGTTGATTTCAATAGCTTCTACACTGCAAAGGTGAATGAAAAAACCTAAGCCAATTCCCTGCACAGAACGAAGCCTCTAAAATAATAACAACTTTATAACCAACAAACTGTGCATGAAGACAAGAGATGAAGAAGAAGAGGCTGACCTGAACTCTGCCGTGCTTCCGCTTCGGTGCACACACGTCACCTCCCGGGTCTGATAGCCCACCTGCAGGTCCCAGAACTTCAACCCCTGGCGGTTCTGACGATTCCTCGTCCTCTTATTTTTGATGAGCTCCCGGGTCTCAGGGTCCCTCATCTTCCCCTTTGCCCTCGCCCTGTCCCTCACACGTTCTCCTTTGTTTTCCTTCACCTCCTTTTTCTCTTTGTTCTTGCGCCGCTTGCCTTGCCGCTCCTGCCTGGCTTGCCGGTCCCGTTTTGCTTTCCGTTCTCGTTTCGGCTCTCGGGCTTCTTGGGTTTCCCGTGCCTGTCGTATAGGTGAGGTGGTACAGGGGCCCCAAGGTCCCACCCTCAGACTGTGCAGGCTTTCCTTGCCCTCACATTGGCCTGGCTGGCAGGTGCTGAACTCTGTGAGG